CAGGTCATGATTGACAGATTTGAATTGTCTCCGTTTTGACACAGTTGTTACTTGTGTAGTGTGTGTGTGTGTGTGTGTGTGTGTGTGTGTGTGTGTGTGTGCCTTAGGGTGGCCATTTCACACAGGTGTGCCTGTGTCACTTCAGGCTTTTCTCCACTAAGCCGATCACTAAACGAACACCTGGTACACGAGGCCAACGCACACACACACACACACACACACACACAATGACACACATCTACTTCCTGCTCTATCCCCTCGTGGCTCAGCTGTGTGTGACGCCCGCCTGCTTACGTTACGTTGGGACATAAAAGTGATAAGGGTCTGTTTTCTCTCCTGTACAGTTTAGCCTCATGCGTACAAATCTCCATCATGTGACACGGCGAAAGGGTTCGAGTAAGTTCATAGCTCAGCAATAAAACACGCCAAGAGGATCCATCTCTGACTGCAGCGTTCTGGGGAAATAAAGTCACTAACTTGAAACGCAGTACATCCCGCTCATGTACACGTGGACACTGTCCCTTCTGGTTGTCCAGCGTCTGCCAAAAAAAAAGCTCTCCTCCCGCTTCCAGCGGCACATCGCTGCGGCTCTTTTACTGCTCATTCTTGGTTTTTATGGCGGACGTCTGCCGCTCTCCCGTTCTCCCTCCTGGCCACTAAGTGCATTTCCATCCCGGGGTCTGTTTTTCCCTCCATGTGGGCTGCTGGATTATAGCAGTGTTATTGTGCTTGTCTCAGTGAGTGACAAAGTCACGTCTTTTTTGTCCCTCCAACCCCCCCCCACACACACACACACACACTGTCACAGGGAATGCGTTGGGTGTGTCTCCTCCTCTCAACGTCAAAGTCTCCACGTCGCCTCTCCCCCCTCCATCTTTTCCAGTTCCATGTGCTCATCTTTATCTCGCGGGCAGCGCGAGGAGAAGTGTTGACATTGGGTGGTGTCCAAATATGCGGTCTGAGGGGCTGGACGGCGGTAATTAGAGCCAAGAACAACAGTCCTGCCCCGACAGTCTGACAAGCAGCCTCGTCTTTCTGATGAAACTAAATGAAACCCGTATTTTCCTCTCCTCGGTACCCCCCCCTCCTCCTCTCCCGCTCGCTCCACCTCTGGCGCCGGGGGCTAATTCGTTAATAAAGTCGGGGGGGCGGCTTAACAATCTTGCATCGTCACCAAAAGTGTTCCAGTGATGTGAACACATTTCATGAACGGAATGAATTAGAAAACAATGCAGCTGTTGACATTAAATTAAAGGCCACGTTGTTAAAAAAAAAAGGATCTAGTGACAGTTAACGTGGGAGCAAGTCAACTGTGTTGTGCCAACAGTTGTGGGGTCCCAAGAGAGCAATATTATGAATGAAGTTAAATGAAATAAGCAGAGGGGTACACGCGTGTCCTGATTACCCGACATTTGACACCGTGTGCACACACACACACACACACACCGGAAAGTCTCTGAAACGCCAAAAGCTCTTCAAGCGCCATTTGGTTATAGGGTTATAACGACAAGCTGACACTTGAGAGACACCATGCGCTGCTGAATAATCAGTTTTATAAGTGGATGTGGGAAGTGTGTGTGTGTGTGTGTGTGGGTGGAGGTCAGGATAGAGGAACAGATGTGTGCTGTATTGTGTTGGTGTGCGTGGACGGACGGGACCAGGTGCAGCCTTTGTCTCCCTGGCATTTAAGTCCACTCGCTTGCATTCAGCCGCCTCGTGCCCCCTCCCCTCCCCTGCCCTCCCCCACTCCTTGGAGGGAAGGCAGAAATGTATGTATGTGTGTGTGTGTGTGTGTGAGTGGAGGAGGGGCTGCCTTGGCTTAGCAGAGGAGGCTCCAGCCGTCCTTTCTGCACACCCCCTTCCTCCTCCTCCTCCTCCTCCTCCTCCTCCTCCTCCCTCACAGGTGACTGTTGGAGGTCCCAGCTGGCCAGCTCTTGGCCGATTAGATCCATATGGTACAAGAGGAGGAGGAGGTGGAGGAGGAGGAGGAGAGAAGTGCCCATCGGTCACATGGGTGCTAGGGGAGCTGCTAGCTTGTCCTTTCAGTCCTCTTTTATTGCTTAAAAAAAAAAACCCATTATTTTCTGTTTATTCGTTTTTTGTTAAAGTTCATTTTGACACGTATTGCTGTTGGTCTGCTGCTACTGCAGAACACGCCCCGTCTTCTGTTCAGCGGTATTCCTTTAACAGGCTGCTTTAAGGTTTTCACTCAGCTCTGTGTGTGTGTGTGTGTGTGTGTGTGTGTGTGTGTGTTAACTGGGCCCACATAGCTCTGAACTCTGCTCTTCTTACTCCCTGATAAATTAGCCGAGCCGTGTGTTGCATCTCCTCGCGCCCTCTCTGCAGCGACGAGGTAGAGAGAGATAGCAGCACGCGCAATCCGACATCGCCGCACTCCCCCCTTCACCCGCCTCGGCACCCACAGCCCCCCCGGGAGCGCAACAAACCCAAACACCGAACACATTTGTTCATGAATCACATCCAGAGTAAGTCAGGCTGCCCTTCCTCGCCTCACGGAGGAAGGTGGGTGAGGTGGGTGAGCGTTGGTCGGGACTGACTTGGGGAAAATCCCTCTTCCACTTCTCTAACTCCCGCCTCTCCCCGTCTCACGGTGAGCCTCGTTCTAAATCGTCACCTGCAACGGCAGAGGCAATTACAGCCAATTAAATGTTTTTATGCAGATGAGCCTCAGCTGAAGCTGAACAAACTCACCTGAAGCTGAACAAACAAGGGACACCTGGCTAGCAACGGCAGTCGTCGCCACAGATGCTGTTCCGTGCGGGCAGGAACAACTGTTGTGTAAAAACAAAAAAGCAGCTGAGAATGCTGAAGAGCAGGAATTGTTCTTAGGCCTGTTTCATGTTTTTGAGAAGACAACCCTGGAAAAAACAGCTGCATGAAACGGTGAGCAAAAAAGTAAAAGAAAAATAATGAGAATTTAAAGAGTATAGAGTCAAACTTCCGGTTGTTTCAGTATTTATTGATCTTGGAGCTTTGCTGCCTGTGCATCCCGGCGTTTCCATGTAGCCTTGTTGATGCATAGAGACGAGTCTTTGTTGCATTTGAGCAAAGGTGACAGGTGGCTTTTAGGCCACAAACAGCCCCACGCACCTCATATCCTCCTCTGAGCCAACCCTCACCTGAGCTAACACGAGAGCACACTGTGTGTGTGTGTGTTTTGTGGCTGCTGTAACAGCTGCCTCCCCAGACACTCCTGTGAACACATTGGATGGACTCAGGTGCTCTTCGGCCAGATGAAGTCATCCAGTTATGTACGCTGACTAATTGACGAGCAGAGGCAATTCTCTGTGGGCTGTCGCGACTACGCGCGCACACACACACACACACACACCTGATGTCTCTTATGTCGGCCATCACCTCTAGCGAGTCGCCGCATCTCAAGATTCCCCCAACGTGGCAGTGACCTAATTTAGTCAGTTCTATGCGGGCGTGAGGTTCGTTATTTGTTGCACACGTTCAGGCCTACAAAAATACAACATATATATATATATATTTATTATATATATGAAGTTGTTTACGTGGTAAACGTCTTCCTGACACCGAGGCCACTCGCCCCGTCGGTTCCGTTATTGAGATGTCAGTGAGTTCCTGTCCATACGGACGCAGTGTGCGGCGCTTTGGAACCCGGTGTCGCGTGCGCTGCCGGCTGCTTCCCCGCGGTGCACTGGCAGGCCGGCATGTGCGGTGGGTACAACAGTCCAAATTGGTGCATATATCCCTCCGTCCTGCCCCCCCCCCCCTATTGGTGAACAGGTGGAGCGATGGCGAGCAGGCTACAGGGCTGAGAAAGAATGAGAGGAATCGAAAAAAACAGAAGGAGAAGCAGCGAGAGCTGCATAATGAGTGGCAGACGTGGCAGCTTTAGGAAAAGCTGGCAGGGCCGAGAGATTCTTTGCCGCGGTTGGTTCTGTGTTTCCCCTGAATTCTTAATGCATCGATTTCTGTATTTATTTCTTTTACTTATTTGTTTTGCACTCACAAAATCTCGTGCGTCGTATTTGTTTCAACAGGTGTTGTTCCTCTTTCGGAGTTCTCCGTGTGTGAAACACCGAGGGCTTAAACTCTGGGACTTAAGCCTTCACAAACGGGGTCCCCGTGGCTCAAGGCCACGCAGAGTTCATAGCTGTGAAAAAGATATAATGGGTGCCATTGAAGCCAAAGTCCTAAAACCATGAAACCGCATTTAAAAAGCTGCTCTCTGCCGACCCGTGACCCGTGAGGCCGAGCTTGTCTATTAATCGTCCATTCTTGAAGAGGTTAGAAGAGTCTGATACACTCTAAATGGAGACGGGACCCGTCCTCCGTGGATCTCCAGCAGACAAAGACGCCTTCTGATCCACCCCCCCCGCTCCGCCGTACCCCTGTTTCACTTTCCCCATACGACTTATCTGGTGGTCTCATTCAATAGCATATTGAGAAGTTGCGTTTAACATTCAAAAGCTGTGGCGGTCTTGTTAGTAAAGCGTGAAATGCCCCCCCCCCCCTCCCCCCTCCTCCCCTTGCTGGGCAGCTCAATAAGGGGGCATTCTTCTCTCTCACAATAGACTTCTTCAGCATTTCTTCTGTTATTGATCTGAATGGTTTGGAGTGAGGGGGTAAACTTTAGACATCTGGTTCTTTGATGGGGGGGTGAAGGGGCAGTGGATGCCCTGGCAGTAAGTGTTGTATGATGTAGAGTGGGATGGGGTGGGGCAGGGGGGGGGCAGGGCAATTTTATTGTTTTCTTTTGTGGCTACAGACTTAAAGCTTTTGAATTCATTTAAACTGTTGAGCTCATCGGGAAAAGAGTAAGCGCTCTTTTTGTTTGCTTGTTTTTTCCTCATGAGGACGCTTTAATGAGTCAAACTCTTTTTGAAACCAAACTTTTTAAAACCATGTCTTGCATGCATCTAATAAAAAAGTGACAGTGATATTGATCTGGGTTTTGACCGACGGCTGACGTCTCTCTCTCTCTCTCTCTCTCCTCCGTGTCCCCAGACTGTAGAGCGAAGAAGAGCCCTGCCATGCCCGGTTCTCCTGTGGATGCTAAGACTCATTCCAGATCAGCCCCCTGCAGCAGCGCCAGCTCCACGATGCCCCCCCTGCCTTCCGTCAACCCCAAGGGCCCTCCCCCGCCCCCTTTTTCCCCCCAAGCGGGAAAACCCCCCCCCCCCCCCCCCCGCGCCTCCCAACGTTTACTGTTTTCCTCCGAAACGTTTGTGCTCCTCGTCCTTTCGCGCCTTGAAAGCACGGGTCCAACCTCGTCTCAATCTCCCCAGTGACCAACGGGAATCACCATTCCCCGCCAACCCTGAACGCGGTGCCGTCCCCGCCGCAGCGCTACAGCAACGGGCCGTCGTCCTCCTCTTCCTCCTCGCTGGCCAACCAGCAGCTGCCGGCCACGTGCGGCGCCCGCCAGCTGAGCAAGCTGAAGCGCTTCCTGACCACGCTGCAGCAGTTTGGCAACGACATCTCCCCCGAGATCGGAGACAGCGTCCGCAGCCTCGTCCTGGCCCTCGTGGTGCGTCGCGTTGCGAGGCGATGTCTTTCCTTTCACCCGTCTGTGACTCGGACTGACTTTTTTCCCCCTCGTCTCCTAGAATTCCACCGTAACCATTGAGGAGTTCCATTCGCGGCTTCAGGAGGCCACGAACTTCCCCCTGCGGCCCTTTGTTATTCCTTTTCTCAAGGTATGTACGTCTCCAACCTCCTCCACCCCTCCTCCCATATTTGCTTTGCATTATTCTGCAGGACTCTTTCCTTTTTTTCTTGCTGCAGTTATTTTTTATTCCCCCTCTCAGTTTAAGTTTAACCTTCCCCCCGCTGCAAACCTTATTAACTGCAGAATAACAAGTGATCAAGAGAAAGTCCCTGATATCAACATAACCATCAGTTCGGATGGCCTGAATAATATACGGCCAATCACATTGCAGCCTGCGAGTTATGATGGTGATACATTTATTGCGGCGTGTCCCGGATACAATGCAGCAATAAATCTGAATCTTTGCAAGTTTTCTAATTTGAATTAACGGCGTCTCTGCAGTTCAAAGAAATCTGTATTGAGATATGCGTGTTCACTTGACAAGCAACAGATGTGCGTGTGTGCGTTAAATGGCCATTTCGAGCCCCTTTTGTAACCAGTGGAGTCTGTTATAGTATACTGCTTTTTAAGAGCTCCCCTCGGTAAAGCAGCCAGTAAATCTCGCTGTAACTTGAAGTGGTCAAAATCCGCTCTTTTTCCACACTTACCTCTTACTCACCTTTTTGGAGGCCGTCCATCTGTCTGCCTGAGAGCGCTGAGACAAGAAAGCCCTGTTCCCCCTCCTTCTACTTATTCACTGCGAGGGGGGGGGCGGGGGTCCGCCACGACTTGGTTCCAACTCTAAGAAAGAGAGCAAGTATGGGGCAGAAATGCACAGATTTGGGGGGAAGGGGGGGGGGTGCAGGAGGAGAGAGGGAAAAGTGGGAACTCGGAAGTGTGAAACATGCCCATAAAGTGTTGCCTTCCCTTTTTTACGGGCTTCCATGTGCCATATGGAGCCGCTGTCCCGTTAAAAGAGCATTCAGCTGCCGAGGCGCCGCCAATCTAGCCTCCGCCCCCCTGAACTCCAGAGAGCCCTCTTCTGTACTGACACACAGCACATGTGTCCCGCTGGCTCGGGGGGGGGGGGGGGGCAGGGAAAGAAGGGAGGCAGAGGAGCATGGGAGACCAAAGGTATCATCTTTTCTGAAGAGGGTAAACTACGAGTGGTGGAGATAAAGAGGAGGAAGCTTTACTAAAATCTGCCCGGTAATGGCTGATAGTGGCTCTCGCTTCCTATCGTGTAGCTCTAAGGGAGAACGCTATGGTTATTTAGTTGGTTGCCCAGAACGAGAGTGTGTGTGGGGGGGTGGTGGGACGAGGGAGGAAGCGGCGTAATTGCAAACACACCGGAGTCTGTTCCCAATTAGGGAAATTCCGGGAAGAAAAGCAAAGATGGAAGATAGGAACACGAGCGTCACAGATACAGGGAGAAGGTGAGGATGGAGGCGGACCAGGAGTCCCTGTGACGTTTTCCTCGGTTCACAAGCCCCCGTAGGAGTGTGCGTACGGAGACTGTGACCGAACTCGGCTTAGAAAACATTTTCATTAGAGCGGGGCAAGCCGCAGCCACCGTGGAGGCAGCCGCTGAACAACACCCAGGCACAAATTGAGCCTTGCAGGCAGACCTCAAGGAGTCGGTGCCCCACCCCCTTCAAACCGCCTTAACTCCCACTGTGTGTGTATGTATAAACAGTGTATATGTACAGTGTGTCTCGCTGCATGCTGGTGGTCCCTCTGATACTTCTACCCTGCTCGCTTCAGATCTCTCCTCCACTGCTTCTAATGACAAATCCACTGCAGACTGCATGATGCATGACATTTAACCCGCTATATAACGTCGCTGAACCATATAAAACCAAGATTTCCCAGTTTTTAAACGTCTCTTAAAACCAGAATGAAACGGTACCAATTAGGGTTTTTTTGGGTTTTTTTTGCCAGGCCAACCTGCCCCTTCTGCAGAGAGAGCTCCTCCACTGTGCACGGGCAGCCAAGCAGACCCCAGCCCAGTACTTGTCCCAGCATGAGCATCTCCTGCTGAGCACCACCATGGCCTCGTCCCCGGACTCCTCGGAGCTGCTGATGGAGCCGCCGGAGGCCGTCACCAAGAGGCACAGCCCCAACAGGTTGGTTGAAAGCCCACGTCAGTGTGCGCGCGCGCGCACACACACACACACACACACACACACACACACACAGCCTTCATACTACTGCTGGTTAATATGAATCGCCCTCTTCCCTCAGAGCCAAAGAGAACGGCTTCCACGAACGCGAGCGTCCGCCCCCGGCCATGGAGCCGGCCGCCAAACGGATTTGCACCATCAGCCCCGCGCCCCGACACAGCCCCGCCCACCCGCTGCCCCTCAGCACCCAGCTTCACCCGACCCCTCCGCCGTTGCAGCACTACGCCCTGGACGACATCGCGGCGCCGCACATCCTCCACCGCGAGCACAGCCAGCGCATGTTGGAGATCCGCGAGCTCAAAGACCGGCCCAGGCTCCCCGGTACGTGACGCCGATTGGATTATTGAGTCCTTTAGCAGCTAAAGAGTTAGAAGTTAATGACTACTGGCATCTTTATTTATCACCTGAGGGACATTCAGTCCCAGTCAGGGCTGCCTGTGATGGGAAAAGTTCCAACGGCCTCCAACAGTCTTTTCTCTAATTAGAGTAAATGATTAAAGGCTACTATTCATCCCTGCGGAGGTTAAACCAGTAATCCAATCGCTTAAACTGGAATTCCACGCTAAATCCTAATTACTCTACTTCAATCCCGTTCTTCACAGCAGAGTGAAAGCAAATAGCTGATTCATTTAGAAACGCAGATGTGTTTTTTTTTGTATTTGTTTGCATGAAAACAGACACACGCGTGTAATCTGCCGCAGGTAACGGGTGGTCTTTGTAGCCGCCCCTGTATGTATCTGGAGAGTCTGCACGTGTGTATAAACAGAGCCGTACTGTCCAGGCGGGGAGGCTCACGTTTACTCTGGTGTATATCTAGCCTCCATTTGGGGCTTGTCAGCATGCAGTGTAAATGGCAGTAGCTCACACACACACACACAAACATACCTGGTTATGTTCATGGTAGAGGTGCTGTGTTTACGAGGCCTTAGTCCCTTGTCTGACAGCCTCCCGCCCGCCTGCCGCCACTTAACTCAAAGACACACACACACACACACACAGTCCACACACTCGGGGCTTTGAACTGATGAACGCTGATGAGAACCAGGAGTAGAGAAGAGGTCGAGGGGAAGGCTAGTTTGTGTGTGTGTGTGTGTGTACACATGAGGGAGTCGTTATCCTTTTCAGCCGGCCAAGCGTGCATGTGGCCTCTCGCTGGCTCTTTGTTACTCAATTTTAAGAGCCTGTGGTTTACGACGTTTTTGTAGTCCGTTTGTGTCTCTTTTATCTGGATATGTGTCCAGAAGTTCTCGGGCTCTGCATTAGCACGAGCGTGTTTGTGTGTGTGTGTGTGTGTGTGTGAACTATTGTTACTGTTAAATGTACAATTAAATATTGTTCAGTTCACAGGGGTGTGTGTGTGTGATATTTCATGGTTGTAATGGCCCACAGTGAGTGTCAGACCGGCTGGTTGTGTTTAAAGGTGGAGCCACTCCACTCAGCCTGAGTGTCTCCCTACTGGAATGCTGTGTGTGTGTGTGTGTGTGTGTGTGTGGTTGACAGCTGACTTCCAGATGTGTGCCGTCTCTGGGTACTGGAAGTCTGTTTTGCATCACAGGCTTCTGCTTTTCTTTCTCGCTCGCATAACACCCCCTCGCATCTTTACTTTCTCGCTTTTTTAGCGTCCCATTTATTTGCCGTCAATGTAAATTCTGGCCGTGTGTCTATGAGTGGGAAATACCTCTAAGTATGGTCACTTGTGTTATATAGAACGTTAATCACATTGCTCTGTGGTCTCTCTTGTGTTTGTCTTCTAATCAGGCACTAACGGGGGCTATCGAGAGGAGCCGGTGGACCACAGACTGACAGACAGAGAGTGGGCTGATGAATGGAGACATCTGGACCACGTAAGTCCGCAGACGGCCACCGCCTCCGCCGCCGCCGCTGCTGCCGCCGCTGGCCTGCGATGTGCAAAGATAAAACGACACGTTGATGGCTAAATCAATGCATTTTGTGTCCGCCTTCGTCCTGTAGGTGTTGAACTGCATCGTGGACATGGTGGAGAAGACGCGGAGGTCGGTGAGCGTGCTCAGGCGCTGCCAGGAGTCGGATCGCGAGGAGCTCAACTACTGGAGGCGGCGTTCGAGCGAGCAGGAGGACCCGCGCAAAGGAGGCTCCGGCTCCGCTCCCTTCTCAAAGACACACAGCCCCCACTCTGCAGAGTCGGGTGGGTACCGCACTTTTTATTCCATTATGTCAGTGTGCCGCACAACCCAGTAATTTGTGATTTCTGTGTTTGGCGCCTATTGTTTTTGTACAAGAGGAGATTGCCTCATGGACGGTGGATGGAGCCAAACCAATGGAAATGTTTTGGAAAATGTGTTGCTTAAATGGTCCGGTTCACCTAAATTACCAGTCAGAATTAGCTACCATGCAGATATATATATATAATTTTTTTTTTTTTTTTTGAGTTGCCCCATGAGTTGAATTTCGGATGTTAATTTTGGTGTTTATGTTAAATATGACGAAGCATCATAAAGTCCTGGAGGAACAAATATGTTTTGGAGGTTTGACATAAATTAAATCAGTTACAAAACCTACCTATAAAACCGAGTAATTTGACTTTATATCAGTGAAACGTCTAAACACCGACCAGGACCGCCTCTCTCATCTGTGCCCTCTAGTGGTGAATTATAGAACTGCAGCTGTCAGCCTTATCTGGCCGCTGTAGTGCCAGCCGTGCCCCCCCCCCCCTCCAACCCTCCGCCCCCCCTTGCCGGTCCACAGTCACGGACAGGTGCCAGCACTGGCCTTGGCCATATCGGCCACAGAAGGGCCGTCCTGCCGTCCTGCAGGCTCAGAGACCCGGAGCTGGCGGCCGAGCACGAGCGCCATCTGGGCCCCCAGCCGGGAAGCCTGCCGGCCCGCCTGGGCTCGAGCTGAGGACGACTGTAGTGGGGGTGGAAATGGCAAGCGGGGAGGCTGGACGCAGGCGTTGTTGAAGAGTGTGGATGTAAATGAAGGGAAAGAGGAGAAAAGGGACGGCGAGGCGGAGGATGTGAAATATGGGGAGAGGGGAGATGAGCCAGGCGGCGGTGTTGGAGAGGCAGAGTGACACAGAAATGAATGGCGAAGCCGGGGAGTCTGAGAGCGAGATTTCAGGGAACAGACAGAATGTTGACACAGCTTGTTGGTCTGCAGTTCCCTCCAAGCCAAACACATTCCTTTCCAAAGCTGTCAGATCTCAGATCTGTCCAAGACTCTGATAAACAGCAATTATGTTGGGTTGTTTGGCCTAGAAAGATATGCGGACAAAATAAAAGACCAGATGACAAAGATACTGTCGCTGTCTGCCTCTGTGGCCTTCATTTGTACCCTTTACCTTGATTGAGCTGTCAGTCACAAAGTAGGCAATTATTTCAGCAATTAATGATCTTAATATCTTTTTTTTTAAGCCTTGGCAAGTGCTAATCCCTTCTGCCTCTGCTTTCCTGCAGACTCCCAGCGCGACTTTGCACCACGGCCAGGCTCGGCATACGTTACAGACGAGATCTGGAGGAAAGCTGGTGAGACCACAATCAAATTGAATCAACTATGTGTTTTATAAAGAAAAAGGAAACCATGTATGCATGGTGCATTTTCCCGACGGGGGTCACCGAGGAAGAACGGTTTAAATGTACCAACGAACGGTTCGCGTCTCCTCCCCCGATCTGCAGAAGAAGCGGTGAATGAGGTGAAGCGTCAGGCCATGGACGAGGTTCAGAAGGCGGTGGCGGAGGCCGAGCAGAAGGCTTTCGAGATGATCGCCTCCGAGAGGGCCAAGATGGAAAAGACTCTGCTCGACGCCAAGAAGAAGGCCAAAGAAGACGCCGTCATGGTCATCAACGAGCAGGAGGACTCCAGTGAGGTGAGCAGACATGTAGATCCAGGAGATTCTATCGCAATAAAACAACTATCGCCCGTCTCTGCGGTTCCACACAGCTTGACAGCATCATTAAAGCTGCGTGAGAAACATTCACTGTCAGGACTTACAGTCGTTTTTTTTTCTCTCAGTGTTGCTGGAACTGCGGCCGCAAAGCCAGCGAGACGTGCAGCGGCTGCAACGCGGCGCGCTACTGCGGCTCCTTCTGCCAGCACAAAGACTGGGAGAGGCACCACCTCATCTGCAGCCCGGGACTCCAGGCTCAGCCCAAGCCGGCGTCTGCCGTCAGCGCCAGCAGGGCGGCGGCAGCGGCCGGCGTGTCTCTGGCGGGTCCGGCCGGGGCCAAGGCCCCCGACGGCGTCCCCTCGGTGTCCAGCCCCGGCGGGGATAAGGCTTCGGTCGCCTCCCGCTCCTCCACCCCTTCGACCCCCGCCTCGGCCCCTGAAGCCAATGGACACTAGGGGGGGGGGGGTCACCTGTCCTCTTTCCTCGTCGGGGAGGAAGTGAATCGGCAGCCGGAGGAAACTATTTGTGAGAGAAGTTAGGCGAGCAGATTTTTTCGTCACACTCTTTGGCAGAAAGAAGTAACAGATTATGGACGACTGTTTGAGTGATATGTCAACTGGGACTTTGGCTTTGGCAGAGAACAGAAGGGAACGCGTCCATTGGACGAACAGATCTCCGTAACAGATGGAAACGTGTTTGTCTTTGTCCCAAAAAAAACCCTCCCAACCAAATCTTGGATCTGCAAGGGACGGGGAAAAAAAACCCTGCATATCTGTGGAAGTTATGAAAGAGCGATAGAAGGAAAGCGTTTAGGTACAAATGCGCCCTCCCCCCTCACACCAATGTTCTCACTTTGTCGTGTATAGATTTAAGACAGCGAGGGGGCGGGGGAACCAGTATAATACCCGGTCCAGAAGCTTTTCAACTCTTTTTCTCCTCTGAGAAAATATCCTGGTCCACCAAAGGTCGTTTCGGCAAGCCTGTCTAGGAAGGCGCCGTTGTATAGCCAATTTACTCCAAGTTTCCCAGGTGGAGGTTTCACCTTCACAGGTCTTGAGGAGGAAACAAGATTCATAACTATGTTATGTTTGTATTTAAACCTTTTGGGGTTTCCTACGTAGACTCAGGCCTCCAAAGTTGCGTCAAAGGCGGAGAGCGTGAGAGTTACCCCATGGTCAGAAATGTGTTTGTAAGCAACAGTTTCATTAGATCCGCACCCACTTATAGTGCACAAGGACCATGTCTTGCAGCATTGTGCCAAAGGATTGGGAGAAAAGATGATGTTTTTTGTCCGGTTCAGAGAGGAACGTTTCTTTAATGGGCAGGCTGATTATCACCAGATGTGTTAGGGGGGGGCAGCTTTGGGGAGGGGGGGGGGGGGGCTCGGACGTTGCTTCAAGTCTTCTACCGTTGCAATAATGGCATCATGGGAATGTAATGCAGCTTTTCAGCTGCAGCTTTTCACAGACGAGATAATCAAAAAGGGAGACGATTCTCACTGGTGCTCTTGTTGCCGTGGTTGCGGGTTTGGAGCAGCGACTCCATCCCACGGAGAATCTCAGGAGGCAGCTAAACTGTATTTCTATGTACAGATCAGTGTTTTGTTTCTTTTGTCGCAGTTGGGTTCAAGTCCAAAGTTTAAATGAGGGACTTTGATTTATCTTACTCTGCTGTTACGGCTAAGATATTTTTCTTTTCTTTTCGTTTGTTGTAAGATGACTTTGTAAAGAATATTATGAGAGATTGCCTTTATTTTGCGAGCCACATTTTTTTCTTTGACACATTCTTTTGTGAGGCGTATCTTCATATGAAAAAAGATATCTTGACATGAAGTATGAAATAAAGAAATAGAATTACCTCACAACATCTTTTTTGTTGTTGACTCTTCTCTGATTTCCCTTTTGATATTAGGTACATTGTGAAATAAATATGAATCCTTGTTACTAGAGGTGTCAAATAAAACAGCTTTCCAATCCACAATGCAGAATCGAAAATCCTGAGTCTTCAATAAACGGCTGTTCAGTCAGCACAGAATTGATTGGGGTAATATTTCTTAGTAGAGATTTTCTATTTACAATCCCTTAAACTGGAGAGCAATGCAGCTTTGTGGTGTTCTTGATATTCCAGATATTAAGTTTGTGTTTGGTGCAGTAAAACAAATGACACTCTGAAATTTTTGTCATTAGAAACTTGAACCGCAGAATGTTTCTATCAAAAGAAGTTGATATAACAGAGCTTTTTTGTTCTTTATTCTTTAGTCTTTATTCATAATTCTGATGAATAATATATAATATCATGAAAGCATAGTGAGCTTTTGCTTGTTAAATAAACTTCTTTTACTGCAGGTTCTTTTCAAAAAAGCCACCAAGCTTTGCGTCCTCTTTGTCTCCTTGATATTGTGAAATATTTAGTGACTCCTGATAAAATATTCAAGTGGCATCTTTGATTTCAGGTACGAGTTAATGGGAAGGCTCCTCTAGAGATGGAATTATTCAGAAGTGGCACCATATTCGGTCATGTATAATTTAACGCTTTCCATCTCCATGAGAAGGTAATTAACATTCAAGTCTGTTCATACGGAAGCTCCTCGTTAAAAAACAGTGGTGCCTTCAACAGTTTCACATCCTAGAAGATAAATTAACATTCAAAAAGGGGTCAAAATGCAGGAGAAAAATGTTATGCTATAGATAACCACAAGGTGGCGGTATAAGATATGTTAAGTGGTGGCAGTAATTTAGAACAGGCCCTTTTCTTTGCCTTCCCTCGCTCCTCTGTCACATTTGAAAAGTTTCTTTGGCAGAACTTCATTATGAGCCCTTGATGTTCCTCAGGGATGAGACTGAGGTAGCCATAGATTTGGACGCTTATTTTTTTTGTTGTTGTGATTTTGAGACCAAAAGATGCTGCACTGACACGTCGCCTTCGTATGTTCTGCCCGGCTACAACGCTTTGATTTAACAATCAATTGAGAAACTTTTTCAAGAGCAATTTGCGTATAAAAGCTTTTTAAATCTTAAAAAAGGTGCAGTGTGTATCACTGAAGTGGCATAAAATGAAGCACATTTAGCTTTGCTTCCCGTGAAGTTTATTTTGAAAAGACACAATGCATGCAATAAGCGTTGACTCACATGCCGCCCCTCACACGTATACGTGACAAAGTTCCGGTAAACATCCGGGGTGGAAAAAAAGTGGACTCTTCAATGAGTGTGACGGGTTCTTGCTGTAAATAAACCAATCAGAACACCGGATTTCATCTATCCATAAAATAGAGAAAACATACTAATTGATATATATTACATTTCTAGTAATAGATCCTTCTAAATGATACACACTGTTCCTTTAAGAAAAGAACATCTTTGTTAATAGCGACCCTGAAGTCCATGTGAGAAATCTCAAAGTCGAAGCGGACGAGTGAGTCAGACCTTCAGAGGCGAGACACCCTCTGAACATGTCTCCTCCCACACAGTCAAGTTTCCATGGCGAAACAGAGGCATGAAATTGGACAACAGCTGGCGCTGTGTCACCTTTGGCTACCAGTCTGTGGACGTCTTCATGAACTGCGTTTGAACACTAACAAATTCATGATTCATTCTGCTTTTTAGTTGTTATTTCATTTTCGCTTGCTGCTTCGACCTCATGGGTTTCCGGTAGCTGCAACACGCAGACGGATCAGAATCAGAAAAGTGTCTTAGCGTGTTTGTGATGATGCTCTTTGAGATCTACTTCTTGTGCATTTACAACTTGTACTCCACCAACACAACCAAAGAAACACTGACTTTGACTTCGGATGTCCTCTGTGTTTCCTCCTCTAACCGGGTTGGCGGGAAATAAATAGAGGGGACGAACGAGACAGGACAACAGATGTCTCTTGGTCACCTCGGCCCCCTGAAGGGACGACCTGTGTTTTCACACACTTACACACACACACACACACACAGATCAGAGCCAAGGGCACCTCTGCTGAACGTATACATCTCCTGCTGAAGGAGCGCTGCAGATGGGTAATAAAATGGTTTCATTTTGGCTATTCGTCAAAGTGCTTCACTATACAGAACTACACGTTTCAGGACATGTTTCAAAGTCAGGAAATGAATTGTGGGAAAATATCTTTTAATCAAAATGAGTACGGGAAATGGGATGGTGGCTTTTTTTAATTTATTTTTTTAGCTTACGTCAGACTATCCATCTCTCCAATTAAATATCAATAGAGTCACAGAAGTCAGCGTGGTTGCTTTTGATGTTTCAGTGCTGTGTTGGAATGTTCAAATGCAAGATAAAAACCTCCTGAGACTCCTGGGTGGCATTTTGACAGAATAATGCATTCCACAGCGGTTCCGGTCCACACAATTCTCACCCAGCAGCAGGCGGCAGGAGGAAGCAGCAAGTTAATCCCTGCGGTACCACCGAGATCCACACTAAAAGAGGGAGAATTTCTATCTTTTGTGTTGCCGCGTGTGACTGCAGGAGCTGGATAGATTCTGAGGTGGGGGTTTATTTTTAGAACCAAACATCTGACGTGTGAAATCACAACAGTTGGAAAGGGGAACAAGTCACGTGCATAACGATGCATTAAAATGCACTGGCCATACGGAGGTATTCACATCCCGGTCCGTTAGATCTTCTGGAAATATTCCTATTCAAACAGCCTTTATTTATCTTTAATAACCTCAGACCCTCCCCCCCGGTGTTGGTGGAGGGTGAGGCGGTGACGCTCGTCCCTCAGTGATTGCAGGCGCAGGTGAGGATCAGCGCTTGTGGACACACATCCTCACGGCCCCCACGGCTGCCCTGATTGCCACCATTCATTGCGTCTGACGAGAGGGTGGAGACGAGGGTCGCTCCAATTCGCCGGTAATCTTGCAATCACATCGTGCAGCCCCAGCAATCGGCGTGCTGATGAGCCGGCCTCCGGGACCGGGCACACATTCGGGGGCACAAAGGCTCTCTTGCATTATGTTCCTGTCATAACAACTGCCAGAAGGGATCTGGACATTTCGTTGGTATTCAGAGCCGCTGAAAGTGTCACTTCACACTATGCTGATTGCTAAGAGAGAAGATGCACGAGGACTTCTTCTCTTGAGCTGTTGTGTAGCAACACGCGTCGCGACACGGACCCTCTAATGACTCTTCTGCATTCTGTTCACACACACTTGAATAATCAGGAGAGGTTCTGGTCTGATCCACGGAAATGATGCTTTGTCCATCGTTACATCCAACTGTGAACTGGATTTAGAGACAAGTTAGCAACTTCCTGGGTATGAAAACAAAAACAATCTGGGAATCTTGAAGTATTTATCTGTCGAAACCAGCGCTAAAGCAAAATGGGACTAAATTTTAGCCTTGACAACATCATGAATAGCTAATCTGCCACCGAGCGCCGTGCGTGTGTCAGCCCGGTTTGTAATTATTCTCCTCCTCAGTGGTCCCAAACCCTCATTAAGGAAACCGTAAACGGTTCTGTTTGGAACTTCTGAATCAAATCCGAGCACAATATCTTTAGAAAACTGAAGATCCAGAGACGTTTTCACTTCAAACAATAAACAGCTTTAATCTCACTTAAGTCGAGTCTCAGTTTGGTTACAACTTGCGGTTCAGATCACAGAACCGAAATACAACATAAATATGATTATATCCGAGGTTGCATATATACATATGGAATAAACTCTACCGTGATCAAAGTAATCACATGACCCATGAAATACTGTATATTTTCTGTTAACTTGACGTGATATCTCCTCACAAGGCCGTTACTTCTGTTAAATGTTTACACTTACTTACTGGAAACTGAGAGCGTGTCCCAGAGGAGATGTAACTAACACAAATACGTAGTATATCTAGCAATAGATAGCAGTTAGGGCAGGAGGGAGATTGATCATTCTGTGAAGGAAAGAAAAACAGTGCTCCAGAATCATACAGCGTTTACAGCCTGGCTTTAAAGGAACTATGACAGAAGGCTTCTGTCAGCATGCACGCTAAACTTTCCATCTCCTATTTCATTTTATTCAACTCTAAACACTTGGTCAAGCACAATAACACTACTGGTGGATCCAACTGGATTTGTTGTAGCAGCCTATTTAAGCCTCTTTTTTTTTCTCCTCTCCACCGGCGTAGTTCAGACAAATACCGCGGTAAGAGGGAGGAGGCCAAGTGAGAGCGGAGGTCATGAGAGAAAAAGGCTTTTGCATTGCAGAGAATCAAACACGTTCAAGTCATTAGATCGGCTGAAGGGAGTTTAACCGTCCCTTTTGATACAAGCGGCACAATAATGAGCAGTCCAAGACTGAGGGACATTTAATGCTGCTGGAGAGTTCTGGATGTCTCTGTCTCCTGCTGTCTTCTGAATTATCCTGCGTGTGTGTGTGTGTGTGTGTGCGTGCGTGTGTGTGGGTGATGCATGCATGTGCGTCTTTGTCCGTGTGACAGTGTAGGCAGTAGATGTGACATCCTGGATTCAGTCGCTAGTTGTTAGTCATAATCCACCAGGAAGCTGAGGGAACACACACACACACACACACACACACACACACACACACACAAATACACACAGTTGGGTCACTACACATGAACACAACTCATTTAGAAACCACCATTGATCAACTTTACGCTGGATTTCTTTCCACATCTCTGCTGGACCTTTCCATCAGTAAAATAGCAGTTGGGTCAATTTTAAATTTTAAAAGAGCTTTGTATCCTATTTGAGAGTCAACGCCCGGTGAAACGGAGGCATTGATACAAAGCAAATTATTTTGCATTACATTTAACTTGATTTCCATTTCAAATCAAAGCAGTCATCAGAATCTTAGTGCGATTCAACCAAAGTAAGCGTGTGCGACGCTTCTCCTTGAAAGTAATAATAAAAGTGTGACCGCGCTGCCTCTGCCAGGAGCAGCAGTGTGTCGTGTTTTATTATTATTATTTTTTCTATTATTGATTCCAGAGTCTATTCCTTTCTGTACGTCTGACTCATAACCTGTCCTCTTTCTCCCAATCAGCCCGTTGTGGCTTGAATGGCATCCGCAGCAGCAAACTCCACAATACGTATTCAAATGTATAATTTCGAATAGTGTTGTTGTGGAAATCTATTTGACATTTATTGTGGCTTTACAAAGACAAACAAGCTGCACATTTGTCGTTCTCTGAAAATAACTTCTGGGTCTGCTCACAAAAGTCTCTTATCTAATTCCCGCGTTTAAACAACTGTTTATTTATGTCCGAAAAACAGTCAGCATGATTAAATGTGCAAATCACATATTAAATGTGCAAATCACATATGTGGAAGTAAATAGCCACGTACAGTAACCTAGCAACGAGCGCAACCCCTGCAGCCCACACGGCTGAATAACCCTCTACAAAGGACGCAAAGAGTCAGAGATAATAATGAATCCTCGCGCTTTCTGAGGCGTATTTGTATTGGCCCTCAACAAATCAACGAATGACTCAAATGTTACGTGGTGAGTCAGGATCAGGGCCTGGACTCGGGGGGGGGGGGCAGCGATTAATCCTACGCGTGCTGATCCTGCTGAGGAGTTGAAGAAGTTCAAATAGGAAGTGCAAGAAACTATTTGATATTGTGTGTTTTTGTCCTTTTTGGAGCTTTGTAATACTCACGTCGGATCTGAAACCACTGACTTTAAAACAGGCAGCGTGAACGCGGCGCTTGAAGAGAACATCCACACGCCTTGTATGCCTTTGTTCAGAAACATTCTATATTTTCACAGTCGATCTCTAATTAGAAAAAAAGTTGTACCTTTTAACTTAACTGATGAAGTGATTTATGGTGAAGAGGCACGGGAGGTTTTTAATGCATCTTCACATATCGTAACATATCCAGGCCCGATGTGCTAATGCAACAGCTGAATGTGACACACAGCAACTAGCAGATTAAATCCTATAGGCCAAAATGAACAAGGCTGTTAGGCCAACGCAACAATCTACACCCGTGTTCCAACTTAAAAGCGACAAAAGTCCATTCAACGCTGTTTTGTATCTCACTGGAAGTCAGTGTACATTAATGACTTGAACAATTCGGAGGGTTTTGCCAATTGGCCACGGGGTCAGCGGAGTTCGCAGAACTGATTTTAATCTGTTTATTAATACCACAAACTACTGTACAAACCTGGCAGCAACATGGTAGAAACTACTTCTGCATCCTCCAACATGTCGATGGCGCAGCGCTGGAAGTCCTTGCTGCTGTTGGACTGCAAGTAGCTACGGAGAAGACAGCGACCAAGCAAAGTAAGGGAAAGAGAGAAGAAGAGACCATCTACATGCACACAACTATGTGCGTCCTACACACCGAGCCTTCAATGTGATTGAGCACCTTCATTTTCAATAAAACACAACTGGTCTGTGCTTATTAAGTTATTCGTAGAAATGTGTTTAGACGCTATTTAAAACAATTGAAGCTACATCCGTTTGATTGTGTGTGTGTGTGTGTGTGTGTGTGTGTGGCCATCTGCTCATCTTCCCCGGTGGTGAACATTTCCATCGAAAACTTAAGATTGCCAAACAGTTTGCCAATATCTGACACACACACACACACACACACACACACACACACGATACTGACCTCATCCAGGAGACGCGGTCTTGCCAGAACTCATACATTATGTAACTCCTGTTTCCTGGGAGCTTCTGAACGGACACGCTGACAGCGGGATGGAGAAGAAGATGAGGATGAATTTCATCTCAAGACACAAACATTGTCCTTTTTTCCTCCGTATACGTTTCATGATCAAATGCGTTACTTCAGTAGCAAAGCCTGGAACAACGTTTTAACTCTGCATTCTTTTGTCTGAAAGCAAGTGGGGCGCTCACTGCAGGTTGTCGGCGTCGGCTGCGGTGGCGTCCGTGTAGCTCTTCAGAACCTTCTGGAAGTCGTCCAGATCTCCATCGGTCGCCGTCATCTGTCTCTGAACCAACAGGATGTTCTGTTGGCAACAACAACCAGAGGCCGAGAGGCGGGTTATGGAGAGATGACATATCGGCTCCCAGGAAGGACAACATTTCACTGTGTGTGTGTATGTGTGTGTGTGTGTGTGTGTGTGTGTGTGTGTGGCTCTCGTCACAGGTGCAGGCGTGTTTGCAGATATTCGAGAGATGAATCCTTTACAAATATTTAAAGAGGAACTCAAACTGCGTGGATGCAGCTGCACAAAGCAAGATGGACGTATATAACATTCTGACGACAGCAGCTCGTGGTGCCAGCGGACTCCACCTATCAACCGAACACGGCGCGTTTCACACGGCACCGGCTTCCTTCGATGCGCGGACCTCCTGACGCAAAAGGAAAGACACCTTGAAATGGGCTATCGATTGATGTACCCAGCTAACGGGCCGCATGCTCGCAGCGGGCCGTCATTCAGGGTCCTCTTCCGGGTAAGTGGGCCTGAACCAAAGGGCCCCCGATGCACACTGCCAGCCCCCGTCCCTCTTTACTTTTCTCAACAATTAAAAAGGCAGCAGTGAGTCACCACTTCAACCAGTACGAAGGGAAGCTCCCGAGCTCCATTTGCACAAAGGGCTTCAATACAATCACCTATTTCTGGTTGCATCCGCCACGTAAGTGTAAATCTCTCTTTTTTTGTTGCCACTCGACAATGGAGGAGAATAATGATGATGATTAATGATGATGCTCATAACGTTTATAAATTGCATCCATAAACTGCAGAAGCCACACACCCGTCTTCAGAGAGGTCATTGAACTTACATATACACATTTCAGCTCAATTATATTACAGTGACAGAAACGTAAAAGGTTCATCCTGCACATTAGAAACAACTCCTCTAAAAGGAGAGTGACTTACAGACTTGTACGCGCTGGCCAGAGCGTCCTCTTTCACTGGCTCCAACTTGGGACCCTGAAACGAGAAGGTAACGAATATGAGAACTTCCACTTCGGCTTCTTGAACATCTGATGATGCGAGAGGTATGGGCGTCATTATCTTCAATCATTCATAAAAACAACTGGGTAAACACCAGAAGTTTCCTTTAAACATATATCACACAACGTATATTGTCATTTTGCATTATTTAACCGTTAGATAACCATATTTAACCATAAAGGTTGCACCCATTTGTTCAATGAGGCTGTTCTATGAAAGTAAAGAGATGGTTTATTTATTTCAACCACATCTGTAGGCTATTGACACGCGGTAAACGTGATGAAACAGATTGAACTTTCCATCTTAAAAGGTTATGGTTTTGAAATATAGCCTTTGTGGCTGAAAACTCATTCTGTTGCACTTGAGAGGAGAGGAGTGAAGTGGCCATAAGGTGTGCGTGATGATTCTGGGGATGGATATTGCGCTCTGAAGACGTTGCAGCTTAAGAATTGCTTTTGATATTGCACCCGGAGTCCTTCCGGCCCAGCCAAACGGACGACTAGGGAGAGAAAAATGCTTTGAGAGTGACTGAAAAGGACGAGAGGCAGAGTGAACGGCGAAAGATGGGAATAACAGGAATTAATAAAGACAACAGGCCGAGGGAGAGCAAGATGGAGGGGAAGATGTGTTGAGACAAGGGAGCAAGAAGAGGCCACCTGATGGCAGATTGAGGAATGAGATGGTAGAGAGGTGACAGAGCTCAGATACACAGATCTACTTAAAGTGGTGTTTTACAAGCTGCCAGTGCAGCCTTGACTCCTTTTCATCAGCACAGTTGCACATAACAGGCTCTGAATAATGCTGCCCTTGCAAAAAAAAATCATAAAGCTGGACGGAAACTGAAAGATGGAGGCACTACAAAAAAAGTTCAATTCAAGAACTATAAGTCAAATCATATGAAAAACCATGTTGCATAACCGAATCCTGCAACAACACTGGCACTGTAAAAACTGTTGCCATGACACCACAGCCGCTTTTCACGACAGCGATACGGTTTAAGAGCTAACGCATTAGTTGTCATCGTTTTGCATATTTGTCACACGTTTGACAAGTTTGTTTTTTCGACCGACGGCACCAAAAAAAACAACACGCCTCTGTCGTTTCCTCTGAAATTGATTCTGTGACCTGTTCAACAAACTTAACAATGATGATACGAACTCTGCAGTCTGAGAGAGAGAGAGAGAGAGAGAGAGAGAGAGAGAGAGAGAGAGAGAGAGAGAGCCAGGACTCCTAAACGTATTCTCCACCGTCCACCTTAGAATGTATATTTCATTCAGAGTGTCAAACGTACGGAGGGAACTGCTCCCTACCTGACACTCCAGCTTATCCAGCAGTTGCTGCAGCCGTAGGATTTGAGCAGACCAGTTCTGTCCGTCTTCCGTGCTGACACCTGCAAACACCACAACATGTAACCGTTGAATGTCACGCTACAGTTAAAACCTCTTACTATTGAGACTGGGCTATATGAAGTTTCCTTTCGGTGTTTATGGTGTGATTGATTTCAAAAGGAGGCCTTGTCTAAACAGATGGCTTCTATCAGCTCAAGGAGAAAAAAGGCAATTCAGACATGGTTTTTATGTGTGGGAAAATGTGGAAATTTCTTAAAGGATTCAGAAGAAACAATTATGGTGAGAGGAACTGAAAATCAATCAGCCAATCACTGTGAAATTGCTGACTTTCTATTATGTGTACAAAATGACATCCAACTCCCGATAGAGCTGAAAGAAAATGACTTTTTAAGTGTTTTGACACCCTGGTTTCAATCCTCTTCCTTGCAGGCTCCATATCTGATGTTCTCTCTATCAATACTAATGAAAAAGAAAATAAATGTGGCTCAACATCAGACATGTGCCCCTTGAAAGTGTCAATATGATATTTGCAGGTGCAAAGAGCCCTGAGACGGAGCTTATAGATGCTTCTAATTATGCAATGCCAGAGATGGGAATGCGTCATGTGTCCACCATTGAACCCGTCTCCCCTGTACAATGAGTACATTTCATCATTGATATGCCGTAACGGCACTGACGCCACGATGTTTGAAACGTTGATTTATCGCAGTGTCATTTGGCATTTGGGCGAAAAGCAGGATTGGGAAAAGTTAGCGTGCTACTCATGAGTCGGCATGCTACTGTCGTTAGCCACCTGCAAACAACACTTAATAGCCCCCCCCCCGATTTACCCACATTCTACCGTCACAAAAGTTGCCTACTGTTAAAAGGCTTGAGCGAAACTTCTGCTCCAAAAATATGCTTACTGCACACATAGAATTTTTTTTGACATGCTGTGCTGTTGTTCCTACCCGTGGTAAGGATGCCGGGATCTGATGGGGACGTGCACAGGTTATTATGGATCCTACGACCACAACGCCTGCCATTCTTCTGTACTGCTGTCAGCTCTGGTGCCTTTACGTCTCTCCTGGCGTGACAGCGGCGGGACCCGGGGAGACAAGCATCAGAGAAAAAGACAGCAGCTGTCAGAAGGGTGGGGGTAAAATAAAAAAAGATAAAAGACGTTGAAGACACACTGGATAATGCTGGAGAGGAAAGTAAAAAAAAAACGAGGAGAGAAGAGATGTAAGAAAGGATGCATTAATAATTGATTCAACTCAGAAATGGAGATTTGGGTTTTTGGACTGAGTGAAAGAGAGAGAGAGACAGAGGGACAGAGAGAAGTCAATGGTGCAGAGATGTCCAAAATAAAAGGTGAAAACATTTAGAGAAGGGCCATGTACACACCAATGCTTATTAAGTAGCAGTTGTACACTGAAATATTCACACACACAGGCACACAAAAACACACAAAATGATCCCACGACGTGATTGTGTAATCAGATTAATGTCCCCCAAGAGACAAAAAGGTAAAACACTCCCCCCCACACACACACACACAAGCACGGCTCTGTCGTACATGGAAGGTGTTTGCTGACTGTAAATGCACAGTGTCAAGGGCATTCACGAGAGTGCGACACAACGCGTGTGTGTGTGTATTGTGTATACCTGTACTGTTATTTCACTGGAGTGTGTGTCTCAATGCCTTTAAAATACCCCCACACATTTGTTTAATATTGTCCGTGTGTGCCTCTGTGTGTGTGTGTAGGTGTGTGTGTGTGTGTGTGTGTGTGTGTGTGCGTCTGTGTGGCCAGCGTCATGCTGACAGCGCAGGGGGGGCTCATTGCTAGGAGGTTTTCACGCTGAGAGCAGCCTGCAGCCCAAAGGCCACTGCAACAGCCACACATCCACTGCAGCGGAGCACAAGGCACACAAATAAGCTGTTTGTTGCCAACTGAATTTATTCCCCCCCCCCACACACACCTTCTCACTGCAAAATCTATTTTTTATACAATCTCAGAAGAGTTATTTATGGACAAAAATATTCCAATCGTGTCCTTTTTATCCTTTTATAGCAGACATTTTTCTCTATGACTGACTTTTTCCGCATTCCAATGCCCCCCTCATTGTGCTTTCAAATACTCCCCCCCCGTCTCAATAATTCACCTTGGCTATATTCACTGCATTCTTTGGAATAACACCACAAACCAGAGGTGAGAGAAAGACAGATAACCTCAGGTGCACGTTAAGCAGACTGGGTGGAAGGTGGAGGATGGAGGATGGAGGGTGGAGGATGGAGGATGGAGGATGGAGGATGGAGGATGGAGGGTGGAGGATGGAGGATGGAGGATGGAGGGTGGAGGGTGGAGGGTGGAGGGTGGAGGATGGAGGGTGGAGGGAGCATCTTGCTGGTTCAAAATAGTCCAAAAAAACATTTGCCAGTGCGTTAGAACCACTGGCCGTGTTATTGACCCGTGGTGAGACGGATTCGTACTCTTCAGGTGTCCGTCCTTGACGAATTGTTCCTCTGAGCATCTTGTGCGTTCAATGTCTTCAATAAGTGATGCTTCAAAGAAATCCGGGGGTGCATTCAATGTCTTTGATGAACCACAGCGTACTGTGGAGAGAACTATGAAGTGCAGGTTTTACATTTACCACAGAGACTGAGGGCCTTTTTGCAGTGGTTCACAAAATTGGAGCAATTAAAAGATGTTTTGATCGTCGTTGCAGTGATGCAACAAACCTTTGTTTGGCAGCCCTCAGCCAATCAGCAGAGGCAAACATTTGGGATCGGTTTTCATTCCAGGAGCTCCATTGAATGAAAGTGAGACTATTTGACAGAAATATTGAATTTCAAGCAGTCCGCCTTCACAGAGGCTACAGACTGTTTGAAAAGGCCCTGCGGCAGCACTGATTAGTTGGATTTCCTTTCTGCTCAGACCAAGGCGGACTTCACTGCCAACATTCTCATTATTACCAGCAGAGTGCTCCTGCCGCTACGCTTCATAGGGTCGCTTTCCTGCAATGATTCTGATTATATGGTGTAGTACAGGAACAAAGTAAGGCGTATTTTTAGGAATTTGCATTGAAGTAATTCAAACAGAGTAAACAGTACATGTTGTACAATCAGTTTGTAACAAATCGTCATTTTAGCCTCTGATTTCTGTAAGTTGTCGTTCTTGCTATGCACCTTGATGATCTGTTTATTCATATATTAACCTTTTTTTATGCATCTCAACTAGGACTCCCTGTCGGAATGGACAATGAATCTCAAATGATTGTCAGATGAAGGATAACAAATAACTTAAATCAACTGGTCTTCTTAGTTCCTAATGGGCTTTATAAATTAAAAGCTGAAATCATGAGAACGGCCGAGGCGTTCTGTCGAGGTTTGTTTAGAGGAACTTTCATCAGCGCGAACGGTACAGACGTGTCAGACGTGTCAGACTGCAGCACTAACGGGGCCGGGCTGCTCTGCTCGTCCACGGCCTCCATGGCACACTGCAGGGACCTCTGCAGGGACGACAGCTGACTGGACGTCTCTCTGAGCATGAACCTGGTGACAAACTGGCCCAGCACGCTGGAACCCTGGTACTCCTGCGAGGCACACAGAAGGAGAGGTCAAAGGGCGCGATGCTCAGCCTTTTACAAAGTAAAAAGGAAGCCCGCGCACACGGGGAGAGAAAGAGAGAGGGAAAGTATGATGCTTCTTCTCCAAAACAACAACAACAACAACAACAACAACAACAACAGGAAAACCCACGTGAAATGAAAGACGGCGGCAATTAAAACCGGCTATTCAATTATCCAAACACATACATTATTCAGTACCGCACATCCAAATTCTAAGGTGGGGCAAGATAATTGCCGTTCGTTTTACCAAACACTCTCAAAAAGGAGTCTTCTTCATGCAACGGGCTGATGCTCAAACTCGAGTAGCCTCCACTGAAATTTCTAAATGCGATGGAGAGACGGACCACAGCGGCTAACTAGCGATTGTGCAACGCTCTGAGGATTCACCCGATCCGACAGCTCGAAAGATAAGCGGGAACAGAGGAGCAAGGTGATCTAATTAAGACTAGAGGAGATAATTATTCAGCACACGTCTCCTCAACTCCACGCATTGCTTTTTTTCTGCAGTATTACAATTTAAACCCCTTGATTTGAGGCTGTTAAAGGCTGTCCTGTGTAACATTCCTTTATCCTACAAAGTCTTATTCGGCAACTCCTGTAGGAATAATCCTACATTTTGGGAAGTTTGCTAATTTACCTTCTCACTGTGTTAGATGGCAAGATTGCTACCACTCCTTTAATTGCACAGCAAATATGAGGTTACCACCAACAGCTTGTTAGCTTAGCATAGCTTAGCACAAAGTCAGGAGACAGTGGGAGACGACTAGCCTGGATGTGTCCAATTCAGCTACTAGTTATCTCTCGTATTAACAAACACGACAGAGTTCTCCGTGACTGGACAAAGAATGGCTGGATGTTCCATGCTTAATTGCGAAATAAGCCAACAATCTCTGCACATACCTGAGTGGAATCATGTGTAACTCTTTGCAAGAATTGTAATTTGCATATTTATTAAAATGTGGCACTATTCCTGTGAAATGTAATTGAAGTGCCTGTGGCTGAAGTGTTTCAAATTCCTCTTTTATTGAGTCATCTTTTTAGGAAACTTGCTAAAGCTCCATCTGTGAGTTCCAGTGTTTCATCTTAGCCAAGAAGAAAAAAAAAAAAGAAGATATATTTGTAGCACAAACCCCCCACTTTGTGCATCCCTGCTTTTGTAATCACCAAGCGGGATTCAAATTGAGATTCCTATAAAAACTAAAAACTCACCTCTTTGGTTTTATCCATTGCCTTCAAAATGGCAACATTCAGGCTCTCCAGGGCTGAAAGTACGTTGAGATACTCCCCCAGGTGGTCAGAGAAATAATCTAATAGGAAATAAAAAACAAGCTTTCAGTGTCATTGTAACGTCAGAACAGTCAAAAGTCTATTTTTGACTCACGTTTGATCGACAGATTCCATTTAGACAAATTTAATGACAAAATAAAAGCCACGGGTAAAATAGACATTTCTAGGTTTGTTTAACGGGTCAATAACGCTCAATGCTTCCCATGAAGTGGATGCTTCATGTGATTAACCATCATATTGATCACTTTGTGTTATGACAGTAATTCATGACAAATGCCATACCGATTAATTTGATAAATAACCAACTGAGAAAGAAACTTCTATACAAATGCCATCAATATTTATTCAAACAGATGAAGGTAATTGTTTGGGGAAAGTACTTAAAACCAAACCAGTAAAGAGAACAACTTTGACCTTTCATTGTTCGTAATTAAAAAAGTAAAGAGCCCTCAATGTGACCCACAAATTGAGGTCAATGGATCAGCAGCACATGCATATAAATATAGACGAGTGGCACATTCTGTCGTGGAATAAATTATGCAGAAGCTTCATTTTGGGTTCTATTGATATATTTTAGAGCCTCTGCCCCATTTCTTTGCTGCATCCAGGCCATCTGAGCATCATTTCTAAGGTCAACAGATCTGTGTCCTTTCAATTTACGCATTCAATTGACAGTCGTGGATTGTACAGAAACAAAAGTACGTTAAACACATTTAATCAGAGGAAACATTCTCCCACCAACCTGATAGCTTGTCAGTACCCAGATTGCTGCAGCACGGAACACAAGAGGAGATTAAAGCATTTAGAAAACAAATGAGAGAAATTCAAAGTTACACTGGTCTTTATTTCTGCTAAATTAACAGTGTTCCCTCCAAGGCTAAACCCATAAAGCTTAAGTGTATAACATGCATCGCTCAGAATATCATTTTATTGATAGAAAGAATGTGCAATAATTTAATTGAATTTTTGTTAAATCACTGTATATTGCCACAGAGTATTATCATATTTGTGTATTTGCAGTATTTTGAACTTGGTGTCCCGGGCAACAAACTGTGTGCACATGTGCAATGTATTGATACACGAAAGGCCATGTATCAACACATTGCATTATCTTATGATCTCCTTCTGTAAAATAGCTTTTTTGTTATGAGAAAACTCACACAGCCTTGGTGGAAAAGTGTCCACACTTCAGTTGCAAACCATCGTTACAATGAGTAAAGAGAATTTTGATCTTTTCTGAGTTTTCCAATGGACTCTAAGTATCCCAAAATGTTTTTATTTTGTCTCAGAAGTGATACAGAATTAAACATACTCTTGATAAAAAGGACAAGAGAGTCCTTTAATTCAACATCAGAGCTCCGTCCTCGCCAATGGCCTCAAAGCCTGGATCATGGCGATGGAGGTCTGAGGGCTGGTGCGTTCCATCTGTCCCAGCGCTACATCATGCCCAAAAGCAATTTATCACACAGTGATGGAAGAACTGGCGCCGCAACAAAACACGAGAGCAGAGTTGCTATTACAGCCAGAGATTACTCTCACTCCGATTGGCTAAGTGTCCTAAAGAAAAAACTGACCAGCGCATCTCACTGTGCTGGTGTTTGTTCATGCTTTGTTCGAGTGCCTTGTGAGACCTGCACAGACACTTTACAATCACCGTCCACGTTCCAGTTGTGAAGTCTGGCTTATATGTTAAGGAGCATATGACTCCTGAATACAAAATCTCAGATCTTCCAAAGATAGCAGAGAATAACTGGTTTATAATAGAAGAATAGAAAACATTGCGTGTTCCGTGACGTGCTCTTTTCCACTGTGGCTGCGCTGAGCTGAACATTATCTTCAGACCAGTGATTGCAGCAGCAACCCTCTGGCGGATTTCTCTGATTGCGATTGTGGACGACTTGGTTTTGAAGTGGCTGGTAAAATCCTTAGTATTTTATGTCCAAACAAGGGGGGCACGCGTTAATACAGTCTGCTCGGGTTTGGCCCACAGGGCTCGTTTTTACAAAACATTCCCTCGAGCTGTGAGACATTCAGCCTGTAACCGACGACTTGAAAGGAACCCACTTGCTGTTTGGTCTTTTTTTTGGTGCTTCCTTCTAACTGTGAAAGAGGCACGTTTTACGGAGCACTTGTGGAAATAACACAGAACTACTGTTTTTAAGAATTAAATTTGCAGCCCATTTTGAATGAAAATGAACGCACTTATTTTTTCGGCCATCTATGGAGAAGAAAAGCTCCTGCAGCTCCTCGGTAGTCAGGATTCCGTCCGCAAAGTAGGCATTGAACTCCTCAAAGGACAGCTTGCCATCATCTTAAACACGGAGAACAACAGAAGCACAGAAATAATTATAGGTCGCCTCTAAATCATAAAGGCATAACAATCAACCCCCCCATCTTAAAATAAAAACATTCCCATGGTAATCATGTTTTCAGATAAAAGACACAAGACATAAAAGCATTAAATCATCTCTTTTCGAGGCTCGGGAACACAAGCGAGATTGACATGAACCCATTTACAATATTTACTGTCAAATTGACCAATTAGAAAACAATGACACGTTCTCTCTCACCTCGTGTTACCACAGCTACATAACCTTCCACAAACCAACTTTAAAAATGGGCTGTCATCGGCGAAGAAGTGCTCCCTACAGAGCGGCACGACTGTTGGCTTCACAGGCGAGCCATCTACCCCAATAATGACCCCGTCGGCACAAAGACGAGGTGAAATGAGAGCAGCCTGACAAGACCATCTGTTCAGCTGGAGCCTCTGTGACATCGCCCGTCTTCACCTCTGACCGCCGTGTGTAGCGCCGCCACTTTGGCTCGTTAGTCTTTTTTTATTTCCTGGTGGTTTTTCACGTGAAAGCTATGATATGACATCAACCTTTAAATCCTTCCACACTCAGTCAATGCAGTTTAATTTTGATGCCATCTGTGGTAACCGTGTGGACCGAGACTAAAGAAGCCTCCGCACATATTTGTCCTTTCTCAGAGTGTTGTACTTGGAAGGATTCCTTGTACTTGTGGTGCCAAGGCCGCAGTTACGCTCTGAAGAGACAATCAGTTTGATGGATGGCTTATGCAGTGTCTTTCATCCAGTGACACAGTTCTGGGTCAAATGTCTTCCTCGTGACAGGGGGATGGCTGCAACAAATACACTGATACTGCCCTCAGCATCCTTGTGTTTAATGATCACGACTAGTCTCGGTAGCCGTTGGGTTTTGTCAACGAAATGTTATGGTTTGGATTGAAATAAAATGCTTGTAACTTAACCAAAACCTCTGAAAGACGCCATTAAAAGCATCAAGAACGTTAGTATCCGCAGTCACATGAAGTCTCTTTTGCGGGAGCTTATTTACCGGATGACACATTGGGTCAAGCGTCATTCTGAAGGGATGTTTATCTCTTATGCCAATTGTTAGGGATTTAAGCAAGAAGTGCACCCCTAGTGGTATAAATTATAATACATGTAGTAATGTTTAGTGTTAGAATTGTAGTATGTGTGTTATTACTTATTACATCAGCATGTTAGATGAAGTGAATGCAATATGAATCAAACACAATGTGCAGTCATATAAATCCTATAAACACTGTACACATTAACATTCTGTCACAATATGATGATCTTATATGATGTAGTGTGATGAACTGTGATTATTTATGATGTGTTGTAATTAAAGTGTACTAGTTATAAGATGAAGACAAACTATGCATGCTTTGTTATATTCACTCTTTGAGACATAAAGCCAAATGTATCTACACTGAATGCATTAGAATGTGGGGGACAGATAAGACAAAGAAGGTCTCAGGTTACAGCAGCAGCTTCACACTTCGACGTGAAGGGGACAATCCAGGAGGAGACACGTCGGAAGAAGAAGCCAATGACATTCAAATGCACCCAAGAAGACACACCTCAGGAGTTTTTGATTCATCGGGACGAGAACAAAGGAGTGAGGCCTCCTTCGAGGGCTTTCCGAACCCTCAACACGATAAGCAGCTGTATTCTGTATCACCAGTATTGGCTGCACAGCTTGCAGACACGCAGATAATATCACGTGGCGTTGTATTAAAAACTGTATGTGTGTCCAACGTAGCGGTACATTTGTCCACGCCGCCACAGAGTTATCAGAGCAGCCGCAGTGATCAGTTACTCAGCAAACGCCAGCAGATTCATCCAGATTGGTACATCATTCATCCATGGCCCAACAAAAAAGAACTTGTGTGGGTTCCCTAAGTAGATCACAGTTTCCAATATCACTCGTGTTATTCACATCATGTATATTATCCACCCAGCCTTTGAAGCATTGCTGCTGTCGTGTTCCCTGTGAAGCGAAGCTATTCTTGGACCATTTTCAAGGAACAAAACAAGTTTCCTTGTAAATAACTCTATTATAGTCTGCAAATGAACTCAGAAATCTTGACCCGGTAGAAGGTAAATATGAGCTACTTGAACCAGCCAGATTTCTTTGGATGTCTCAAATTATAGAAAATTAGTTTCCAAACTTTTAATTGTTCATTTTTTATCTCTGTTTTTCATATAGAGTGGACGAATAATCAAAAGCATTAAGGAGGAATGAGGCTTAAAACCCAACCACAACTATTTTTTATTACTGGAGCAGTTTGTCTGAGCAGCAAAAGAAAACCAGTATGTTAAGCAAATATGTTAAGAGAATATTTGCAGAAGTGTGAGAAAGAATAAAAAAAAGCAGGTCCAACTATTTGTATAATATCCACATTTAAATTGACCCAAATCTAAGTTAAAGCCTCCATACAATACCTCGCTGCACAGGCAGTTCTTATAATAAAGCCAAATAAAATGAGCTATTAGTCATACTTGAACCCAGACTTGCAAAGGAATGCGCATGAATGAATGAGCATGAATACTGAGTCCAAAAATAAATCAATAAAAATAAAGAAGAATGTTTCTATAGACAGACAAAGGCTGGTGAAATGCGCCGATTTTAAAACACAGCCGGACACAGACAGTATGGATTTCTCAAAAATAGAGAAAGACTCTAAACAAAGTTCGCACAAGACCGGAGTAAACAAGAACCAAGCGAGGAAGACCTGTAAACTGGGGCACAAACTAGGCCGCGCTCTCATCTCTCAAAAGGTTCGTCCCACTGCTGCCTCTCTTAAGTGGTTTATAAATTCCCATAAATGCATCTCAGCTTCAAAAGCAACTAGCATTGCAATGAGAGCTGGGTCTTGTTTCTTCATGGCAAGCGCCCATGTACCCTGCACACTTATTAGCAATGCTCCGCTTAAGATGAACCAGCCCACCTGTCAGGCGTTCTGAGAAAAAAACCTGCCGCTGCATTTCAGCTTTTAATTTGTCAGAGTTTAGCACATGGAGGACTCAGATCTCAGGGTTTATTAAGTTACTTTAATAAGGGGTCCAATAAACGCTGAGGAGCAAGCGGGAAAACGGATTGTGAGGATTATGAGGAACATCATAACATCACCCCCCCAAAAAAAAGACAATCAAACCAACGACGAGACGCGGGACACACATGGTTTTAAACACACTGAGCAGGTGCAGGTGATGAAGCAATGGGGGCCAAAGGCCGACAATCACGAGGTGTCCTGTATTGGGCCGTAAAGTACTTTGCACCTGTTTACAATGACCTGCGCGTCAGTGCACGCTCAACGCAACAGTGAGGTTTTAAAGCGGTCGTCATTTCAAGCTTGACAGAGCAGACTTTGGTAGTTTGTGGGGGAATTACTTTTGATGAGTGGAAATTGAGACCCACGAAATGTTGTGCTGGAAGGCAGCTTACTATTTATTTACTATTTATAATGTCAGGCGAGAAGCCGGGTTGATTTAAAACTCTTCAGCTATCACACTGATTTCAATATTTGTCATTGTCCCCAAAAGTTTACTTTTGCATGGATTGTACTGCTTTTTAAAACTACAATTTGTAAACAGCACAACAAATTAAAACAAATTAAAAAGCTGGATTGCTCTATCTGTGACCATTTTTCCAATTATTTTGTGACTGTTGGGATTATGTAAGGCAGCTCGTCATCGTCAGGACTTCATGCATATGGGTAAAAAAACATTAAACACACATGCTTAGACAAATAATATGAACTGGTTCTCGTTGATCTTCCCAGTTCTTTGCCATTTAAGCTCGGTTAGTTTATTCAATTGGACCCATCCCGCCCCAAAACTCAGATTCTCAAAAGGTTCCCGAAGGTGAGGCAACAAGGGGCGGACGAAATGCAGACTCAGCAGTTCATTGACCGAAGGAGTGTGACCTCGGTGTGATTCTCAATCCAATGAACTTGAAAAAGTCTGCAGAATGAAACACAAGCTGTCAAGTAAAATAAGACGAGACAACTTGATTAAAAGGTGTGTGAAAACAAGCAATTCAATCACAATACAACTCCAGTATCTTCGCTTCAAAAAAGTTTGATGCGAAGATTGTTTAATTCAGGACTTTGATTGTATTCTTTGATTGTAAAAATAAGGATTTCACATTGTGGTGTTGAAGAGAGGAGAAAAACCCATTTAAAGATGTACCAAGCTCAAACAGTTTAAATAAAAGTCAAAACAACTTCCCCACAGTCACCGCTGCTGTGGCTTCATATGCCGCTCCTGGCCACACGCTAATTGGACTGAACCACAGCATGTCTTGAGATAAAAAAGATCCTACTGAAGCCTGATCAGCAAACATCGCAGAACGAATACACCCCGCAACACGAAGCACGGACACCTGGCTATGAAAAACCTATTTCACTTCACGTCCTTGTGATTGACTTTAGAAATCAATCAACTGGTTGATGGCTCCGCCGGGTGTCCGCCCAGATACCCGATGACAGCGGCTGCATTGGGACATGTTGGGAATCAGGCCATGTGGAAAGCAATTCATTCTTCTGAATTTGGTATTTTGCTTTTATTTTCAGCGTTGATTTAGCTTTCAGAGTGCATTTATTTTTCATTTGAGAGGAATTTGGTTTGTTTTTTTGTTGGAGGGCGGGTATAATATCTCACAGGTACGAGGCAACTAATAGAAACAAAATGCATAAATGGAGAACCGTGACAGGAACGAACAAAATATTTAACGTTCTTTACGCTTTTTTTTGTGTCTTTTTTTGTTTCACCATGAAACAACAACCCTGTTTTGATCCGACAACCAACCTGCTTTAAGGTACTAAAGATAAGCCTGAGCGTAAGGAAAATGTGTTAGAATAACTCAAAGTACATTGAGCAGTTACCTTATTTAGCCTCCTAATCACAGCTAAAAGGAAAGCTTGGCTCGTCGTGCTTGAACATGAGTCACATTCATTTGTGTCCACGGCGACAGAGAGACTTTTTTATTGTGTGACACATCCTCCCAGCAGTGGCCACAATCCAGCATCGCAGCGTCATTTTTAATTGGCACGGAGAAACTCTCCGGTGCGCGAGGAGGAAATGAGCTTCACTCAAAGAGTCGTTCATCCACATTCTGGATCTCTCCGGCGAGATCACGTGAGAAGTAGAACCCTGAACAGACGTGTGCTTACTCACCGTTTTTGTCTGCTCGGCGGAAAATCTGAAAAAAAGAGAGGAAGGCAGAGATGGTTATTTCCTCTATAGTGGTATTACCAAAGCGGTTCTGTAAAAAGGATGAAATTGAGAATTGCCGTTTAAAATGCTTCTGCTGCACCAAACGGAAACTCCCCACCGAGGGCCTTCACAATAACTCAGCGTCCTTGGAAGGTCGAATGGCAGTTTTTAGCATGCGTCCGGTTTAATAATCACCTGTGGAGTAAAGTGCGACTTCACAACAGGCCTGAAGCTGCCGAGCAGCAAAGAGGCTTCGTTAGCATCTGGCGGGGGCCTCGGTGATGGAAGAGGCTCCGAGGAAAAACCAAATAAAGTGAGGTTGTTCATTCAGACGCTTGGATCTATTGAGCTCGGCGATATTATTTGTATTTTTATTCAGGGTATGTCGCTATTGGGACGGGGATTAACAGAGCAGCATGGGCCACCAGCTGAGTAATCGATAATGCTGTGGTTTCAGATTGAGGAAGGCACACTGAGGCCAGCTGGTCCCCCCCCCAACACCCCCCCCCCCCCTGCCTCCCAGAACAGTCTATTTAAAAGCTTCACTCCGAGCATCAGTCCCTGCAACGGCTGCTTCTTTGGGCTCCTCTCACAGCTGACTGTGCTCACGCGGCCAAGCGGCTGAAAACCGCTAAGCTGAAAGCGACACCCGCCGCCTCTCCGGGCCTTCGCCGGGCCGCTGTCCAGCGCCGGTGCAGGCGAGAACGTTGACGACGGGTGGATTACGGTTCGCGGGCCGCTGCTTTAATGCGTTCTGGCTCGTTACGTGACACACCGTCCGCGTTTTGGTTTACACATGTGCTATTTCTGCTTCGACAACTCTACAAATGTGCTGTGAAAAAAGGAGCGCTGTCATTTCATGTATAGGTCGAGGCATGAACCGCTAGCTAAGCGTGTTGCTGCAGCAACGTGGTGTTTGTGTGCTTGTTTAAACTGTCCCAACATATGAATGCAGACATCAGCACCAGGTCTGTTTCTGTCTCACACTGTAGCACTGAAGACAGTCACGTTTGCTTTAATGACAACTGTGATGAGGATGTTTCTAAATGGATAAATGGACTTCGACACACACACACTAGTAAATAGCGCATGACCCTTGTCTTGTTTTATTCACTGTGCAGCTAAGCTAAAGACGCTAACGAGGATGTGTGGCTGATGAGCTGCTGAGAGTCTGATACTCGATGCTCTGATCGTACGACTGATCATCATCAAAGTGTCGGATGATTAAAAAAGAAGCAGTTTTTCTGCAAAGGTTCCACAGCAAATGAACAACGGCGCCTTGTTTCGAGGCGCACGAAAATAAACAGTTGCAGTGACTAACGGTGGGAAAGCGGTTTGTTGGATGAAATGAAAAAGACACAGAGCTGGACAACACGGATGAGGGGGTGCTGGCCGGCCTTTGGAACAGCCGGCCTCCTGGTCGACAGCAAAATGCTCTCCCAATTTAACACATAATACGGTTCTAAAAACCCATAAATGCGCCTTGCAAATAAACGCAAATGAAGTATATTATTTATTATCATTCTAAATGGGGAGAGGAAAACTGAGTTTACCACTAAGATATCTTATTTCTGAGATCCAATGATGAAAACGGATCCGTGGGATACGATCCGGCAGGTTTTAAATGAATCCCCGGAGTAAACATCACCAAACCACTTATCTAGACTGAAAACAACGGCCAGTTCCCCCCCAAAGGCATTTCATAATCACCCGCTGGATTGTTATGCTGCGCACACAGACAAATGAACTAGGGTGGATAAAAAAGTTGGAGGAGCCCTTAAAAAAAAGAATAGATGTTTACAGTCGACAGTTTCGGGGACAATAAGAGAACAATAAGCTTTGTTTTCATGTTCAATAAGTGGGTTAGATAATTGGACTAAAACCGGCTCCATTATGAATCCCTGTCAACTGGGGTCCCTGTGACTCAATGTGGCAACAATACAGCTGCAGACTGCATTGTTTAGTTTAGTTGCTAAATCTATGAAAATAAGAGAGTGGAAAAAAAAATAATCTTGATTTTCCAAAGTCAACCGTGTGAAGAGATGTCTTTCAAACCGACTCCGCGTGAATAGATCCGACTTCATCAAAGAAGCCTCGCCATTAAAATGAAGAAGCGTTATCTGCTCTGTGCTAAGGATTTTATTCCTCTCCCCTCGGGGGGAAAAGATTTCCATTGCTAGGTAGCGGTCACGAGGACTTTGGTTCTTGTCGGCTTTGAGCTCGTGCGGGGGGGTGTTATTGACACGGGTCACCGAGCTCACGGCCGACCCCTCTGCCCTCTGTCTGTAAGTGTCTGCCTCTCCACAGCTTCAGGCCCCGGCCAATAACCGGAGGTCATTCCGAACCGCCTCACAACGCGCCCGTTCTCCCGTCGTAGATTCGCCGGACGAGACTCCAAGGTGACTTTAGAGCTGCGAATGACTGAAAATGCTGCTATTAGCAGGAGGGCAGACTCTTCTGAGCCCTGCATGAAACACAGCGTTTTCTTCCCTCTCTCCCTTGTTGTAACACGCACGCAGGAAGCAGCGTTTCCTCCCCATCGTGATCTAGTGGAGAACACCTCAAACACAAACTAGTTTGTGGTTTGTTTTGTCAGGAGAGGATGCTGCTGCATCATTTAAAGCGAGCCCAAAAGAAGGTCAGGCTGCTCTGATGTGGTGGCGGCAGGTGTTGAGGAGACAGCGGCTTATCTCACACTCTGCCGACACCGTTTTTTTATTATATTTTTTTTTAGATGAAAAGACGGCAGCTTGTGATCACATTTTTTCCTCCAGCAAAAAAAAATAAATAAGAAAACCGACATATCAAGAGCAGAAGGAGAAAAAAATGAGAGAGAGAGAGAGGAGAGCGATGCGAGAGTCATCGAGAGGAAATGGGATGGAACGAGTCTCATCCAGATCCTCTGGGTACACAGAGACCTGGCCCGCTTCGAAACCGGATATTTTTTGAGCCATTGCTTTGAAACTCACTGCGGTGATATTAGTTCGATGTGTGAAGTGTGAATCTCTGTGACACAATATTGACCCTGTTGATGTATTGATCTCTCCCTCTTTCTCTCTGCTGCATTCATGTTCTTATGATCTGTTGTTCTAATGATTTCAAACAATTACAATGATTTTTACATTAATCAATATCCCCATCAGTAATTACTTGTTTTTTCCTGACAGCCTGCTGCAAATCAATGTGCAAGCTGCAATAATAAAGTTCATACTGGCGTGATCTCAGAAATATCGATCACCATTGATCTGCATACACCTTTAACTCAACATATTTATGCTTGTTTTTAGTTGTCTCAGCGTCAGCTGATTCACTGACCTTTCAACCCACCGCGGGGACTGCTGGGGATACCATGCACATGCTATATTCTCCAGCCGAAATCAACAGCAACAAAACAAACCTCAGGGTTGGCGACTAAAGGAGGCGGCCCTTCGGGGGCAGTTTTTACGGACCATTCTGTGTCCTCACTGAGGCGGTCTGTCTACTGCAGCATCAGAAACGGAGAGTTGTCAGTTAGCGAGAGCGGCCTGCTAATCCAGAACATGGCAGCGTGTGATGAATGGATAATTAATGTGTCGATGGGAAGTTTCTGCTGGGTTGCAGGTTAGTTGAGGCTGTGAGTGGGATTCTTTTAAACTCCAATCGGGATGCGTCTGTATTTGAGATATGGCTGAATGGGAAACAGTGAATATCTTGATTTGTTTTCACCACAAATATTGATATTTAGGGTTTAGTATCGGTGCTGTTCCAAAAATATTTCGGATTTGATCGATAAAGAATAAAAGATGAGGATAGAATGATGGGTCAAGGCATTTGTTAGAAATTGCGTCACTTCAATGGAATGCAGCCGAGCGACCCCTTTAAAGTGTTGAAAGACGAAGCTAAAGGGAAAGTGCCAGAAACTGCAGTTCCTCAAATGGCCAAAAGATGCTGCAGCCAGATTAATGAGGATATTCATACAATAATACATGCCATTGATTCATTGCGCAGTCCCGCTTTGAGTTTGTGTCATAAGTATTAGTTTGGTTATACAGCATAAACATATTGTTTCTTTGTGTGTGTGTGTGTGTCTGTGCACGTGTAGCATCGGTTGTTGCGTAAACAAAACAGAGGTCTTTGTGCAACAAAAAGAAGAGAACCCCCAGCGATCCCTAAAGTAAACCAATCCGACTGCGAGACCTTAATTGATCATGCAGAGGAAGCAGCTGCAGCTCATTCCCCAGCACGCGCACACGCACGCGCACACACAAAAATGACTCTCATTTCTGTTTTCACTTTTAGGGAATGAAAAAAAAAAGCGAACAAAAAAAGAAAAAGTCCTCATTTAGCACCCGTCACACCGTCAGTCCGCTTGAAAACACCCTGAGAATAACACCGACAACAGTAAACAGATGGAATCACTTGATAAACACACAGCACGTCGGTGACGGTGATGCAGGAAACTCACGTCGTGGAAGATAGTGAGACCTCGTCCGGCGCCGCGCTGCGGCTGCTGCCGCTGCTGAGCCAGGATGTGCTTCTGTTTGGCCGACTGCAGGCACATGGTGATCATCTCCGTACAAGCCAGCATCTTTGAAAACACCCCTGGATGAGGATGAGGGGAGGCGGCACGGGCGCGGGTGAGGGAGAGGGGGTGGGAGGGGGGGGGGGGGGGGCGCTCTAATAAATATGGGCGGTGGCGGTCCGGAGAGAGGAGAGGAGAGGAGAGGAGAGGAAGGAGCCTGCAGGTGTGCCCGATAACAAGTGAGGGGAGGGAAGCGGGGGTATCGGGAGATTCTGCGCGCTTTCGGGTTCGCCCGCTAGGGCAGAGATGACGACCCAATCACAGGGGGCCCCCCGCCCCCCCCCCCCCCCTCCTGCTGGGGCCGCTGTGATTGGCTCGTTTATCTGCGCCGGGCATCTGGATCATCATCATCAGGACCAAATGCCTCCATCTGATAATGTTCTGTGGTGCAAACACTTCCTCCACTGCGCTAAACACACAGGTCGTGTTCAATGCTGCACGCACTTCGGATTTAGGACTACGACCCACTTTGTAAATAGTATGTGTTGAAGTTAAAAACACCGGTGGTTGATTGTATTATGACGTACACTTTACAAATATACATGATGTGTGCACGTGTGAACATCGTGTATATTTGCAATGGAAGTTTAACGTTGTGAAATGTTTGATGGATTCACGTCAAAACAACTTTGAGCCTGTAAAATTCCACTGCACTACGTTTTATTGGACGCTGCCATCTGCTGGCCGATGGGAGTCAATGGTTTGACCTTTTTCCGAATACAAAAAAAACCCCAATACATTATTGTTATAATGCATTGCATTTGTTGTTTTTAATTCTGGATTATTCCACTTTTTAGAAGTGACATGACTAAATCTGCGCATTACTAAAGAGCAGCTGAAGTGGTCAAAGCAGGAAAACGACAACGAAACGATAGTTTGGACTGTCAGATCACTCCTAGAGACTATTTAATTGTTTTTCCTTCTCTTTTTTTTATATTCATATCGCCATCATACACTTCGAAATGTTCCCGGAATAAGAGTCGAGGGGCGGAGCGCAGCGGTTCGAGAGAAACCCCTTTTTCAATGTCAACTTCCTGTACTTGGGTGAGTTTCACTTTTCTTTCTCCCCCAGCTGACAAGTCACGGCGGGACTCCGCGCGCCACAGCAGCTTCTGGTCTTCGTCTCCTGGCTGTGGACTATCTGGACCCCGAACTGGACCCACGAACTACCTGTCCCACCTTTTTTTAAGCCCCCCTCCCCTTTTGAGGAAGCCAGGGTCTCATGCGGACGGTGCGGTGACGTCACAGACCACGCAAGGTTTGGACATAGTGCTCGTTTACGACGACAGCTCCGTACGTCATAACCGCGGTGATGCTTACGTCATACAAGTTTGTTGCCCTGCTCGTTTCAGGTGGGACGATGGCCTCTGACGTTGCGGCGAGAGTCGCGCTGAAAGAAGGTGCGCGGCCCGGCTTGGTTTCGATTGTGTTGTTGTTGTTGTGTCGTGTCTCTTTTCCAAATATGTAGTCGTAATAGTCGTGAATTTATATGGTCTTAGTATTTAAATAGCAGTATATCAAACTCGGTGGTGGGGGGGGGGCATTGCAACATTTGTGCACATTTTTCTCCATTACTTACACGCTACTTCACACACAGGTACTCTGTTGATGTAAGAAACATGTATGTATATTCATTCATGATATTATTTTCACTTGTGAAGACAAGCCTTTTATATATAACGCTGCATCTTTATATTATCGTCACACTTTGAGCAATGTTGAATATTTTTCATTTTCAACACATTATTTCTATACGAAACGTTTGCTCATAGATGAACTGCTTTTTTTCTCCAGCATCACAGGTGAATGGCCCCTATTGGGCACAGGTGCTTATATTAGGGAATTGCAGCCATCATAACTTTCCATAACATTCTAGCAAACACCTACATTCAGCTGCGCTGTTTATGCTACTGTCGATGCATTTTCCATTCAATTAATGTTCATTTAAATTTACAGCCATCTCAACTTAATTAACTTCATTCCTTGGTTTGTTTCCTTCGTTTCTCCTCCTAACTTCTGCTGAGGTGAAAGGATCTTGCGATAAGGCAGAAGGTGATTACGTGTTATCACTCACGCTGGTTTCTGAAGCATTGTGTAGTTCAGTGTGGCACAATTGCCCAAAGTCTCCCCCTGCAACCAAATGTAAACATGCAATGACTCTCACCCTGTACGACTGCTAGAACAGGTGACACCTATAAAGAGTGCACCACGTGCTCCGTCCATGGGCAACGTCCTGGGGAGAAATGTAGATAAGACCTCTCCATCTGCTCCCTGTGCAGCGGAGGAACTGGCCCTCTCCCTGAGTGATGCCCTCAACAGTGGGAACGAACAGGAAGCGGTCCAACTCTGCCAGCGGCTGTCCAAGCTCTCTGTCCCAGTGTGCGTCAGCATCGACAGCCAGGCATACCCTCAGGACTCCATAAGGTAGGACGCAACCGTGTGTGTGCATGTGTCTGCTCATTTTGGCCTTAGTCTCCAAAAAAGGGGAAAAAAATGAACCACGTTGCCCCGTGGGAAATAATTGACCTCTTTCTAGTGTTTGAGTGGATTCTGCTTTGTTTGTATACAAGAAAGCTGGTTCGATTTTAGAAAGATCCAGGCAAAGCTGGTTTGATTCGTTTCTATTTCCTAGGTTACGGGTCGGAGTGGAGGATGCTCAGTCGGACACCGACATCCCTCTGAATGTTTTGGTGTCTCCCGACATGACAATCGCACAACTTAAAGAAAAGGTATTTATGTGACAGGATAAAAAAATATATTTTGATGCACTGAAATTCTTGGCAGTCTTAAATTAAAAAAATAATAAATTTCTATCCCTCCTTGCGTGTCCACAGATAAACCTAGATTTCGGGTTCCACCCCTCGCTGCAGCGCTGGGTGATCGGGAAGCGGTTGGCTCAGGACCGCGAGACGTTGCACAGCCACGGCGTGCGTCACAACGGAGACCAGGCCTTCCTGTTCATCCTCTCGGCCAAAGCTGCCCACCTCCATCTGCACCAACACAAGCAGGAGCAGGACCAACAGCGTTTAGACAGTCAGTAACGCACACAAAGAGATTTTCTTCGTCGGTTCATTGGTTAAATTCATTTTTTATGATGATCAATTAGCTAATTAACTTATCTTTCTTATTATATTTCTCACCAACCGTTCCAATGTAATACCTGTTTTAATACTTGATCACACAATGGCAAATAATTAAAAAAAAATGCTTCTTTCATGCTATCCCAACAATTTTTTTTTTTTTGAAAAATACACAAAAAGTTCAAAACCCCCCCTCTGACTACTGGTAACAAAAGTAAAATGAAATGATATATTCATATATATTCTCAGGTATCATGGAGTCCATGCAACTTCTACCCAGAGGGCCTGCAAAAGGTGGTGAGAAGACCGCTGATCCTCTTCAATACATTCCTCCTTCTCGTCCCAAACACGTTCCTCCTGCTCCTCCTGCTCCTCCTTGTCCTCGTCCTAAACCCGCGGTGCCGGCTAAACCTCAGGTCAGAACACCACCTGTGCATTCGACCTGATGCAGGCATTGTGACTCCATGACTGTCATCTAAAGTAAAGAGATGTAAAGTACATCTGTGTTTTAACCTAGATGCGCTGGTCCTGCCCCATTTGCACGTTCCTCAACAAACCCACGCGCCCCGGCTGCGAGATGTGTGGGGAAGATCGGCCGGACGACTACCAGGTGCCTGACAGTTACCAGCCGGACCAGCAGGAGGTTCTTCGAATCCAGCTGGAAAGCCTGGCCGTGGTTCAGTACGAAGAGGTAACGGGGATGTCGACTATTCAGCTCATCTACCTATACAACCTGCAAACCCCGTGCACATCGCATTTCAGCTGGTTTTGTAAATCTACAACTGACGTAGGCGAACATCAGGAACACCTCACAGTATAACCCAGTCCAGAAAAGTACCGTCGAAACACTCGTATCAGTGTGCACGTGTCTTTTCACACCTCCTCGCGTGCTTGCGTAGGCTTGCGTCAAAAGCTACGCAAGCCTCCCGCAGCCCGCAAGGCTGCGATTGGTCCGCTAACTCCGTCCTTTACGGAGTCTCACCTTTCCGTTTTCATAGCACAATACCGCCATTATTAAAACGAAGAATGTTTACGAGAGAACGATTGAAGAGCTTTTGTCGGAAGAAATGCGTAAATATGACCGCTTCTACAATTGGCGGACTATAAGGACGCGCGGATGGCCTCTGATTCACGGAGGGAGATCTCCGCAAACGTCGGTTTGCCGGTCGAGAGGTGAACAAAGTTGTGAGAGGAAAATACGGGGTTGGTGCGTAATGACGCAGACGCAGAAACATGCAGCCTTAAGCAGTCTGTGTGCTCAGTCAGCCTCACATGATCACATGATCAGCCAGTTGGTTCCGTGACTCATTTTTTACTAGTATTCCAATTTTGAACCAGCATTCTTTTTATATGTGTGTTAAATCAATGGATACAGGTGCACTTCCGAGCCAAGTGAACAAAAGGGGAAGAGCGCAAACTTTGGTGATGCTCACAAAAATTTGGACGTCAAGCGCTCGCTGTCTTTGGTGGTTTCGTACTTAATTCCTCCGTTGTGGTTCCTCCCCTTTCCGGGTGATGAAGGCCCAGCGGGAGGAACGAGAGAGGAACTTCCAGAGTTTGCTGGCAACCGAAGACAAGAACCTCATCCCCAACGCCACCGAGGCAGACTGTCCTATCTGCTTCTCTCGCTTAGAGGCGGAGGAGGGCGTTGTGCTCCGAGAGTGTCTACACACCTTCTGCAGGTATGACGCTGTGAACAATCCTTCTCATATGTCATATGTCGTAAAAAAAAAGGAAAAGAAAAAAAGCTTAAAGTTAACGAGTTCTACTATGGCCGCATTATCTGCAGTAGCGGCAAATGTTGGTGTTTTAAGCATGTGTTGGTATTTGCCTTTCCTTGCAAAGGGAGTGTCTCAGAGCGACAGTCGTGAACAGCCTTGAGGCAGAGGTGTCCTGTCCTGAGACATGCGACAGCAAGCTGCTGGACCGAGAGATCAAAGCGGTGAGTGGAGGAAGGGCTTCAGAGCTTTGGTTCCAGATGTCCAGAGCTGCATCAAGTGTATCTTTGATCAGCGTTAAACAGCACAGAGATTTACGTTCTCCTGAAACATAAACATCATTTTGAACCGATTCAGCGGAGGTCGCAGAAATGAGCTTCCATATTTTCTCCAGTCGGCGATGAAGCCGTTCCTGATTAGAGGAAGTTAGAGAATGAGAAAAAGTCCCCCCTCAAAGTTTATGGGAAACAGAAACTTATGAAAAATGATCCTAATTCAAACTGTTATGTTTCTGTATCTGTCTAATTAAACAACTGAAATGACACTCATAAAATGTACATGTGGATATAATTCTATACATTGTAAACATATAATAATTATGCATATTGACAATGACTATCTATCCATCCATATTTATATAGATTCAATGTACTGTGTATAGTTGAAACAAGCCCATTTGCTTTGCAGACCAAACGCAACCGCACTGCTTAGTCGGACCGATTCAAATATAAGGACCTTATTTTTTAATAATATAAGAACTTGCATTGAAATCGCTTCGTCCGTAGGCGACCGCGCAACATTAAAGCATGTGTAGGACGCTCATTGTTCATCCAAGTTTTCTATGTCTCTCTCATGGTATGACCCTGGATGACAGCTGCTGACGGACGAGGAGCACCAGCGCTTCCTGGAGCTGCGTCTGAGCATCGCGGAGAGCCGCTCGGAGCACAGCTTCCACTGTCAGACGGCCAACTGTCGCGGCTGGTGCATCTACGAGGACGAGGTCAATGAGTTCCACTGTGAACTCTGCCAGCAAGTCAACTGCATTCTCTGCCGGGTACTTTTGGAACATTCACGATGTTAGCTGGCCCGAGGTTTTTCTCGTTGTGTAGCAACAGCAGAAGCGTACAAAGGTAAAATGAGTTGTGCGTGTGTGTGTGTGTGTGTGTGTGTGTGTGTGTGTGTGTGTTTGCAGGCCATCCATACGGGCATGAATTGCAAAGACTACCAGGACGACCTGCGCATCCGGGCAGAAAACGACCAGGCGGCTCAGCAGACGAAGCAGATGCTCGAGGTGGGTCGACCTTGCAGTCGGTCGCACCGTCGGTGACATTTGGAGGGATAGAAACTCGCCCCCTCGTAATGGTTTTTGCACCGGTGCAGCACTCAGTCAGCCACAAACCGGCACAGGAAGTCATTGGCGGTCTTTAACGCAGCTTCATTACATCCTGGAGGAGCCGACTAACTGAATGAAAACGCATCATCTAAAGTTCTACCCACCCATGTAGAACTTTAGATGTTTTAATTTTATTTATTTGATGAATCATAGATAAAGAGGCTTACTGTCTGTGCTTTCAAAACCGGCTCCAATAAAACTTGATTCTTTCAGTTTGGTCAATGTCTAAAATCAATGTATTTATTGTTCTGCAGTCAGGTGTTTTTATGTGTTTGGGGTATTTTATGTTTTTAAATCGGCACCATGAAATTGTGCACGTCTCTCCTTTGCATTTTGATTGATTTTATTCCGCCATATTTGAAAACAGAGCCTGCTACAGAATAAGGAGGCCATGAAATGTCCACGGTGTGACATCGTCATCCAGAAAAAAGACGGCTGTGATTGGATCTGCTGTTTGATGTGCAAGACGGAAATCTGCTGGGTCACCAAACAAGCCCGCTGGGGACCAAATGTAAAAAAATATTCACCTGCACGCGAAGTAAGAAAGCGCTTGGTTGGTTTCTCATTCAACAAAATATGACTTTTTCTTTCTGCTGCCACTTACAGGGCAATGGCGACACATCTGGCGGCTGTAGGTGCCGAGTCGACAGAAAGCCGTGCCATCCCAACTGCCAAAACTGCCACTGAGGGAGAAGCACACTAATGAAAACGCAGAAGAACTTTCAGCTTAACGCTGGCTGTGAGATACTGTACAGGAATCGTCTGGTCATTGAGGCACGACCTTCTTGGTTGTGCAGAAAAAAATGATGCAATGTGAACGCTACATACAAGCTACGTCTCCGCCGCTGAGATTACTGGGATCTTCTTATACAGTATATAAATACTTTTATTTTTAATGAAAGCCTAATATTCACGTTGACATTACAAAGAGTTTAATTGTGCCAGAAATCATTTGGCGATGGGTTTGATTTTAAACTTTGATTGTATAAAGCTCTGAAAGTGACATTTAAAAAAAATATATTTTAGAAATACAAAGAAAAAAAAGTATAATCCTGTGTATAGACAATGCCCATAAATAATGAAATACGTTTTTTCCTTTTGAAGACAACAACCAATGAACTACTACTCATGAAGAATTTAGGTATTTTTTCCAACTCCTCATTGAGTCTATACCCGAGACGAGGGAGCGCTACGATTGCTGAATACTAGTAATCGTCTCTGATGTTTTCTTTTAGTAGTAGTGCACATACGCTGTTTTTATTGAAGTAACTCAAATATCAATTTGTTATCAGCACTGTAAGACTGTCGACCAATCAGACTGTGGTGAAGGATGTTTACATTGAATGAATGTGTTCATAACCGGGGAAAAAAAGGTAATCTGACGCACTCGATAGCTTTTAATTAATGACATTTGTCATATACATACATGATGTTTGGCCCATCCAAAGTAGTGAGGAGCTGTAGGCTGGTGTAAATCTCCCTGAGAGATTAGCTTGGGGTTCAGTGTCTCACCCAAGGACACTTTTTGAAGTATCACCTTTAAACAAGGCGCTGAGGAAATATATTGATGCTTCATTCTTATCAGGTATTCACGATTGAAACCGGAGTACTTGCTCGTTGTTTATGTCTCGTATCCATTAAGTATGTTTGGCTCCATTTCCATGTTTCTTCAAGGGACAGGCCTCAACTCAACTCTAATAAACGGGAATTACAAGTATACTGTGATGTGTTTGCATCATTGTAACACAGTGACATGTGTTAACATTAAGCCCAGATGGAAAAAAACAACAAAGCTGAAGCTGTTGAAGATGAAACCTGAAAAGATCTGCCAACGTGGCAATGACCCATTGAGTGGACACGTACACAGGATCTGTGCACGCATGAGAGAAAATACTAAGGGTTATTCATCATGGCTTATCTGTGTTGCACTGTTGCTTTGGGGAGACAATTTTAAAAAAGGGAGTTGAAATGGTTACTTGTGGAGGAACCAAAAGTCTGGAGGACGACTAGCAGGTGTGTGATAAGAGAGCCGAGGTGACAAAACAAATAAGCAATTCCTGTCAGAAGGCCTCATTGAAAAGCTGTTAAAAGTGTAGAGAAAAACAATAATCAAAAGCATAGGGTTATATAGAAGTCTCTATTGCCAACATTGTACGTTTTCACTCGTTTATTAGCATTCTCTTGTACAACCTTTACATTAGTGTGACAGTTTCATTATAAAGAAACAAACAAAAGGCAGATCAATTACTTGATGCGATGATGATAACAAATGAGAAACCACTGAGTGCAGATGCACGGTGTGCTACGATACAGCTCGGCTCTCAGGCACCTCGCTCCTTGGACATTTTCATCAGTGTGTGGATCCTGTTCAGCGCTGAATCGTTGGCTCGCCACAAAGTCAACGAACCGATCGACCACAGCACAGGAAGCGGGACGCCAAAGCATTCGGCTCGGAGTACGGCAGAAAAACAACTTCTCTCTTTCAAGTGAAAGGTTTTAGTTGAGTGGTTGTCGTGTAGCTGTAGCCAAAGTCAATAACTGATCATTTTCTGTGCAGCAAAATACATCCTAAAAGATTGCAGACAACCCAAATTCTTATATTAAAATGCTCTACATTTATCCAGATGAGACGCGGCTATTCGGGGTACGTGAGACACCACCTGAAGCCCGAGCAAAGCCCTACGACCCCGAACATGTGACTGAATGAGAATGACGGGAACGATGGAATGAGCTGGACTAGTTAGCGTTACATGTTAAAGCCAAATGCACTTTTTAAACACAAAAACCTTGGCGTTAATATGAAGGCTCGGGCGCTTTCCCCCCCTGACAGGAGCACCCTTTGAGGAGTAGTGAGAAAAGCACCTATCAGACTAATATTAAATGGATTTTACAAAACCTGCAGTGTGGTGGGTCCCCCCCTTGTGCCCGAAGACTACAGAATATGCACTAAAATATAAAGTCCGTTTTTCTCTATTTTTCGGTTACTTTACTAGATAAAGCAAATGAGTGCGTTACTAAACTGTACGGAGATGGAATCTTCTACTCCAGAAAAGGTCACGCAGAAAGCATACAGTCTTTAGAGAGGCCGTGTCACACTTCTTAAGTGGGGATTAAAAAAACAAAACTAAAAAAGTGTGCAAGTAAAGCTAGTTCAAGATGGTTGACTTTTTTTCCTCTTGTTTTTTTACTTCATGGACCGTGAACGATTTACTCCAGTCTGGGGCCAAATCCGTTGGAAGTTGAGATTTCAAGCCGGGTAAACCACATTTACCTGGATGACACTAATCGTATTTTGCAGATATGTCTAGCTGACCCCGACCTTGAGCTACAACTGAAATGCATATTTAGGTGTGACCGCTGTTGACATGTTGTAAAGCTATTCCGTCTCATCAAAAAAAACTTTTGAAGATATTAAGATGGGCGAAAGTACCTAAAACATAACACAACTGTGACCATGACAAGGTGCCTCCGTCTCATTAGCATCTCTCTTTACCTCTGCGTGTATACCTATAAATTAGGAAACAGTAAATAATACAAAATGATTCTAAAGATCGTCTATTTGGTCTTATTTCAGGTATCAAAGGGATAACAAATCGGTTGCGACCACACAGACCCCCCCACCCCACCCCCTCATACATTCAGTCAAGCCCTCTTAATTGGCAGCAGTTTCAAGTGTAATGAGTCCACCAAGCTATAGGCATACATCTTTGTGAGCATAACACGATATCAGATTATCCTAACACGAGCTATAAATACACTTTTGATGATGACACCATCAGTTAAGAGTTCTTATAAAAACGGTCTCTTCATTATAACTGGATGGGCCGTTCATTTCAGAGCACCAGCCGTAGCAGCGGTCTTGCTGGTGCCCGCTCTTCTCGGGTCATTAATAGGGACCTTCAGCCGGAGCCTTAGAGGCCATATATATATATATATATATATTGGACGTTAAGACACATCCTAAGAAATGAAAATAGGAGCGTTTACTGGTTCGGTGTGGAGACAGTGTTGGACTGCGTGGTGTGTGGGTGGGGGAAGACCTGCCAGCATTCAAGGACAGTTCTGCTGGAGCACGGGAGCAAAAGAGGAGCAGCTCAAGGGAAAAAGTCCAGTTTGGGGGCCCACTCCAGGGCAGAGTTGACCACCGCGAGAGCTGCTGCCCCTAAAGCCACCGTGAGCCCCATGACGGCCAGCCGGACGAACCTCCGCGCTGCCGAAGGCTGGGCCACCGACGCTACGGCTGTCGCCGCCGCAGCCGCCGAGCGCTCCAGCGCCGCTTGTTTCTGTCGCCGACGGCGACGGAGAACCGAGTCTGGTCGCTGTTGAGTGGACGCGAGGTCAAAGTCCTTAAAGGTAGAGGCTGCCATGCTTAGGGGGGAAAAAAAGAGACGGATACAAAGAGAGCGAAACAGAAAAAAGTGTTAATGAAAGAACAGTGAGCAACTGGAGTGGAGAAGGAGAAGAAAGTGATGAGCGTCTGCGAGAAGGCCAGGTGGAAACCCTAGGGAGTTAGGTACCTGTCATGTGAGGCGGCCTCTCTGGCCAGTTCAGAGGGAGGGAACTGGACAAAGAGGTCTCCCGCTCGGCTGATGAGTGTCTCGTACGGCAGATCCTGGGGAATCTGGGACAGCAGGTGATGAACCATGGCCATGTCGCATTCACACTCCAACACCTCCTCTTCTCTGTGCAGCACAATCTGCAACACAGCGACCACTTTGATGAATACAAGTATGAACTTGATAAGTTTCTTTCCTTTTAGTTTACACAAATCTAATACAGAAGAATATTGCTCTTTATGTTTCCCAACGTCTACTAAAGATTGTGCAAAGGGACAACGTGACTGTGTCCTCTGGCTAAGACCAGATGTCATACTTGCTTATCATTGGATCTGGGACATCTTCGAGGGCTTATCTATATAACCGCACACCCAGAACCTCCTCACACAAAGTGTGTTATGTGTGAAGGAACACAGAGGATCTCAGGTCACCTACTGAACTATGTCAATGAAAAATTGAACCAAAATGTAATGTTTCTCCTCGGAAGTACACATCAATAGATGTAGCTCACGCAAATGTTCTTGCCTGTGACTGACTGAAGTCCACACACTGTAAATGACAGCTTCTAAATTAGTAACTCTAAATTGCAAACTTACAAAAGCTGATTACAGAGTATATAAACTTACCACAGCAGCAAAGTAGATAGGCATCAACGGATGGCAGGCCAGGAAGAAGTCGTACAACCGGACAACGTGGCGGAAGTCGGACAGGACGTGTCCAAACCAGGTGATCAGCCAACTGAGAGCGAAGACGGTCCCCACCTCAGCCCTAAGAATCAATCGATAAATGGAAGCGATCAACTTACATTAGCGCACAAAACTGTAACGTGTGCCTAACGCTCCACTCAAGGGACCCTGTAAATGACATGTTATTAAAAATTAGTCATAATATGGTATTATGGTGTAAGTGAAGGATGTAGAGGGCGGCCCTCCGAGCGGAAGACTTAATGACCTGTCGTGTTAAATCTTTACAGACTTAACTTGAGCGGATATAATGGGATCAGTATGCTGTCAGTGCAAAGTCACTCTCCTGCTTCCCTTACAACAATAATGTGATCTTTTTTTCTTGAAGCATGCTCAGGTTTAACATTAAACTTTACTGTTTTAAAAACACCAGGAAGAAGATCTTGAGAGTGGCGCCACGATTCATGTAGAACAACACTGCTTCAGACAGAACACACATATATAGCCTCAGTCATGTAGGGTATGAGGACAATTCTGCCTTAATAATAGCTGAAATACTGTGCATTATTATCTTTAAACTGCAAATAGAGCGAGGAAGGAGCTCTCATTTTCAAAGTTTTATGTTACACAGAATAGAATTGGATTTTGCGTGTCATCACTAAAACAGAGAGTCTTACTGTTGCATGAAGTCATGCACTTCGGGGTTGACCCTCTCAATGATGGGCATCAAATAGTTAAGAATGTGTTTGGTGTTGTCCATGGTAGGATCCATGAAGTCCCTGGAAAGAAAGAAATGGATTAAGTCTTCTTAGAAGGCACATTAGACCATTGACAAGGCTGTGGCGATGATTATTTTCCATCCTCACGTGTGGACAGATAACCGAGAAAGAAAAGCTGAGAAAGCGGGCAGCACAGTAAAAAAAAAAAAAAAGCAGCTGCAGATTAAATAAGTGGTAAGTGCCTGAGGTGGTGCGTGGAGAGCTTTTCCACCAGGGCGGTTGCAAGGTGCTCTCCCAGGACCAATAAGAAGGTGACAACGATGTCATGGTATCCCTGGTAGTAGTGCAGCTGGGTATTGCGTTTTAGGACGAGGAGGATGATGTTGATTAGTTCTTCCTGGAGACCCTCCCGCTGCTCATCTGGCATACCTGTAAAAGTACACAGAGAGCAAAAAAAAAAAATGCAGCTGTTAAGTTCGTGTAGGCTTTCACCCACTAGTCAAAAGCCGGCACAAAATTCGACAACAAACAAACAAGTTAAACATTCATTCAGTGTTTTCCCTCCAAAAGTAACATTAGTTAATTGTTTATTTACAGGTTACTATGGAAACTAACCACTGTAGACTGAGCAAATACGTTTCTGCCTGGGATTTACAAATGTCAGTCGTACTACTGTGTGTTCATAACATTAACTTAAAAGTCCAAATGTCGAGACGTGATGCTCGGGCTTCGTGCACAGCCTGGCAGTGTGTTCATCCATCAGTGGTTTCACAGTACAACATCCACAGGAGGGGGGGGCGCTTCATTCATCGGTTCTCTACACTCACCAGGCGGGAACCTCCGCAGCGATCGCTGGACGTCCAGCAGCACCTGGTTGTAGTCCTTGTTGTCCTCCCTCTCCACAGTTTCTGGACAAGACATGCACCCAATCAGCATTGCCACACAGCAAAACACCCGAGGTGGGAGTAGACCATGCCGCGGCCGTCCCGGGAGGGGGAAGAGATACCTGGCTGCCGCTCCAGGACGTGGGGAGGGACGTTGAGAAGCCGAGGCCACACCTGACGGCGTAACTCATCGGTCAGCAGACCGCCTTCGCTGATGGCCATCCTCCTCAGAGCCGCCACGTCCACCGGGCTCGCGCCGAGGGCGTGCGTGATGTCCGCGATCTTCCTCTTCCGTCGGGTGTCCCAGTCTGAGGCACAGCAAGTGGGGCGTTTATCTCGAGGGGGCGAGCGGACGTTACTCGGACGTTACATTAAGCGTTAGCCGTTGCGTAGACGTAACGTTTCGCCGAGGCTCGTGAGGGAATGGTTACGCCAACTTTAGCAACGGCCACAAGTGAGCTCGCTAATGTCATTGAAAGGTTTTTTTCTGAAATGCCTTAAAAACGCATGGTTGCCCAACGTGAAGACAGCCAACCACCGCTAGCGGTAAACAACCTGAGGGACTTGTCAAACTTACCGTTACCTTGTTTTCCGTTCACCGGTGAGGAGGCACCAGCACCTCTCGATGTACTCATTGTTTTAGTCTCCGCTTCTCGATACGTCTTTGTTAGATTGCATAAACGTTACTTGCCATCTTCCTTTGCGTGGCTGCCCTCGATTTAGACCGTCATGACTTCCAACCGAGCGCTAGCTGTCTAATTGACAAGGCCAGCCAATACAGCCACGGCCCAATGGTTAGCTAGCTAGCTAGTCAGTGTTAGCTAGTTATCAAGCTAACACTGAATTGCCCGGGCTCCGGAAATGCTATTTTTAGCGACACATCCATCATTATTCGTACTGCCGAAAAACGTGTTGACAGTTGCAAAACGCGGTTTTAATAGCAGAGCTTTTACACCATTTACTGGTGAACCGGCTACATGTTTACATTGACGGAAGCGACCAATAGGATACTTCGGCTTTAGCTAGCGTCTCCCCTCTGACTGAATGATGACGTAGGGACAGGATGACGTAAGGTGACCGAACATAAACGGAGGAGGAGTCCACCGGCCGAGTGGATCAAATACTAATCGTGATTTAAAATATCCCAACAATACCAACAATATTGTTATAAATGCTTTTATTACGTATTTTTAAACATGGCTTACTTGTTAGTTAGTTGATTCATTAATCATCCTAATTTGTCATGTCACTTAAACTGTAATTTTTCACTTTGTCGTCACTCGTCACTTTGTCACTTGTTCGCTAGTGCACTTTATGCTTAATATTTGCTTAACTTTTTTAATATTTTAATTTTTTAACTAACTTTATTCTATTGTTTTATACTAACCCATAGCCTTATTCTACTAACCCATTGCATTAGCATTTGATTTTACTTTATTTTATTACTTGTGCACTGCTGTCTTGTTGTCTATTGTTACACTGTCGACTCTACTGTCACGCAACAACCGCCAAGACAAATTCCTTGTATGTTTGACATATTTTGGCAATAAATGTTTCCTGATTCCTGATTTATCTTCATGTTATGTCCCTACTTAATTCTTCTACTTTACCTCTCTTTCATTCCAGAGGTAAACTTTTTTACTTCCCTACATTTGGTCTCTTTGACAGCAATAGGCATAATCTACAGATTCGTGTTTTACACACCGAACCATATAAACTGCAGCTCACACGTTAATGCATCAGTATTGATGTGAACAGAAAGGAGCCAATCGCCATTTGTTAAAAATATACGGTGTTTTATTCATGTTCATGGAAATATTTAGAGTGGGAACGTAGGACCCGGGGGGGCTGGGGCAGGTATTGCGGGATCGGGGCAGATGCGGAGATGCGAGGTGTGGAAATAAGCAGTCGTAGACATGAACGGTGCCATGCTGCCGTGTGTGCGTGTTAAATAACACAACACATGATAGTGTCGCTCCCGGTGTCTAGTGTGTCACACCCCTCCTAATGAGCAAGCACTGACAGTATCAGGGCGTTGGCCGAACCTTGATGGACCATCACTGCTTCCTACCAAGTGCACCTGTGACTAACACTCCAAAGGGCATCTTTTCCTGTCTGCGCGTCGAAGTTAAACACGTGCCTGTGACTCACATAAGTTACATACCGTTGACTAATAGGTGGAGCTTGTTCGTTATGATGAAACGAAAGCTAAAATTACAGATTTAAAAGGCAGCTTCCTGAACTGAGTGAAGTGAGAGCTAGTCGGGACCGCACAGCTCACAGGGTGCGGCACTGTGATGCTTGCTAACGGGGTTAGCTTCATTAGCACGGCCCTTTTTGTATTGTGGATTTATTCACGCCCAGTGGATTGTCTTGGTAAGTCATTTCTTTTATTCATAATGCCGCGTTTGTTAAGAAGGGGCGGGTGGTAGAGCGAGCCGGCTAAATAATCAACAACGGGGAATAGAATATAAAAGTGAGAGTAAATAAGTACCAGGATTTAAATTAGAAAACAAAAATAACTTAGTCAGCATCGGAGGTGTAGGAAAGAAAACTTCAATTTCTGGAGAAAAGAAACCTATCATCGAAGATCCAGCAGGGGGCAGACTCCCTCTGAGTTAACTAGGTCATTGGTACATAGAAGTACCGGAGGCTGCTCGAGCACAACTCTTAGCCCGGTGTTCCGACCCGTTGGCTACGAGCCCTTTTTAATTATGTCTTCTTCGTGGCTTCAATTAAGCCTCCTTTTAAAACAGGTGTGTTCGTGGTCAAAAGTGACGTTGTTACCTTCTCTTTCTTCATCTCTTGTCACACAGAGGTCGTCGGTGTAACAACCTAAATTGTAGCAGCAACCATGGAAAGGCTGACTGGTAGGTGACGACCTAAAGATGGCAACTCATACAACTCTAATGTACATTTTAATTTTCAAAATGCAAATATCTTAACACCCCCCCCCCACCTCCTTCCAGGTGATGATGCTGGGGTTCATTCGCCTGCAGCAGCAGCACAAAGGAAAGGAAGGGGAATAGGTGGAGGAGCACCAGCAGGGAAAGGAAGGGGATTAGGTGGAGGAACACCAGCAGGGAAAGGAAGGGGAATAGGTGGAGGAACACTAGCAGGGAAAGGAAGGGGAATAGGCGGAGGAACACCAGCAGGGAAAGGAAGGGGAATAGGTGGAGGAACACCAGCAGGGAAAGGAAGGGGAATAGGCGGAGGAACACCAGCAGGGAAAGGAAGGGGAATAGGTGGAGGAACACCAGCAGGGAAAGGAAGGGGAATAGGTGGAGGAACACCAGCAGGGAAAGGAAGGGGAATAGGTGGAGGAACACCATCAGGGAAAGGAAGGGGAATAGGTGGAGGAACACCAACAGGAAAAGGAGGGGGAATAGGAGGAGGAACACCAGCAGGGAAAGTAGGTGGAGGAACACCAGCAGGGAAAGGAAGGGGAGTAGGAGGAGCAGGACTAGCACCAGGGAATGGATGGGTACGAGGAGGAGCAGCAGCAGCAGCAGCAGCAGGCAAAGGAAGGGTGATAAGAGGAGCAGCTGCTGCAGGAGCAGGAGGAGACGCGGGCAGAGTAGCGTCTAGGGGGAGCCCTAAAATGGGTGTTGGGAGAGGAGAACACAGTTTGGATGGAGGTGGGGACAGGAGATCGAATTCCGCAGGCAGATTGAGGGCACCTCATGGCCGTGGACTGGACTATAAAATCTTGCGCGATCTCTCAGGAAACGATCCGTACGTGGTGGCCATCACGCTGTCCGCTCACCCGGCCCTGAAAGAGGTCGTGGGTGCAACGGAAATGGGGAAGAACCATATCGAGGTCCTCTGCCTGGTGCTGAGTAAAGCCTTCACATCGCAGGCAGGCAAGAGCACCCGGCAGCACCTGGCCGGCACCATAAAAGATTCCGGTTTCTTCCGCACCGTCCTGCCCCACTATGTGGGGGGCATGGGGTCAGAGTCCAACGTTGACCGCATGGAAGACTACCCTCGGCACTTGGAAAACATCTTGACTATTCTGTCAGAGGTAAATACTAGAGAGAAAGAAAGAAAGAAAGAAGGAATGGAAGAACCAAACTGTTTAATTCAGCTGAAGTATAATCCTCAACATTCTGCTCTCCAGGTCCTCAACTTTTTCCCCGCCAGCTCGGCCCAGGCCCCGAGTATGCTGCTGACTCTGCTCAAAGCCTCCATCCACACCTTGAGGGTGTTGGGGGTGGACATCCGGCCTCAAATGGAGGAGAGGTTGGAGAATATCGACGGCCTGATCAAGCATCTCCAAGTGAAATCCAGGGAGGGAACCCTTCGCTCCAACAAGGACACCTATTCCCTTCTACCCACCGGAGGTGATGACACAGATCAAGGCCTCATGCAGAGAGATCTCTATGCTATAAGTGCTATGGGGCTGCAACTAAGGATTATTTTGATAATCGATTGATTATTTTTTCAATTAATCAGCATTAAAAAGAGCATTAATTTCCAACCCTTTATTCTAAAACAGAACTTTGCACTATGCAAATTTATAGTGCAAAAAAACGGGTGGCCAAACAGGTTGCTCCTTGAACATAATAATTACATAATAGGTCAGAACTTGTTCTCTAAACCAGCGGTTCCCAAACTCAAGAATGCCGCGGCCCACTTTGAAATCTGAAAATCTTTCGCGGCCCACCCAAACCTTTAATCACAACTATGATCAAAACATAAACTAGTGATCATTAAATGACCTTAAGAATTTAACCAAAATCAAACATCCGCGAGCAAAAGTCTGTCTCGCGCGAGGCATCATAAATATTTTTATATTAATTTCAAACTTTGAAAATTAAAAATTAAAAAACTTTCTTTATTTATTGTGAATGACCTCTCGCGGCCCACCCGCAGCCCACACTTTGGGAATCGCTGCTCTAAACTACACTCACAGACACACACAACACAAACTGTCACACTCGCAGGCGCACACACTCAAAAACTCAAACCCGGATACAATTACATATTTGTGTGAGAAAACTTAAATGTTTCTGACCCAGGTGAAGAAACACAAGAGGATTTCCGGACTATACCCATCTACCCAACACCGGAGGAGTTTCAGCAGGAGCAGAGGCCCTTCCTGAGACCTAACCTCACCTCTCGGTGCTACACCAGCACCCACCTCTACCTGGACACGCACTTCCGGCTGATGAGAGAGGACTTTGTGCGGCCGCTCCGTGAGGGGATCCAGCAACTGCTTCAGGACCAGATGGAAAGGGGAGCGAGCGAAGGAGGACGTCATGCTCATCTGAGGGCCCAGCAGTTTGATGACATCAGGGTGTACTTTGACACCAAACTGGTGGTGCCCAAGTGCACGTTTTCCGGCATGGCCTACATAATCAAATTTGACGTTCAGCCATTCAAGGTTGGTTGGTCTTGGATGGATTTAGCTGTTTATTACAATTTAAAGTCATGCATACATGCATATATTACCCGTACATTAATCTCTCTTCCATCTGCCCCACAGTCTGTGATCTGGGAGAACTCCAAGAGGCTGATCTATGGCTCCCTGGTCTGCTTGTCGTGTGATAATTTTCAGAGCTTCTTGTATGCCACAGTATCTGAACGGGAACCCAAAAGCCTGAAGAAGGGACTAGTCACCGTTGCCTTCACCGAAGAGAGCAGATGGAAGTTGGCCCGAATTGAGGTGGGCGGCGACGTGTGTGAGCAGAATGCATGAAGTCACGGTCCAATTTCACCCACTTAAATCTCCAAAATCTGCAAATGAAACGATTTTCCAAATAATTAGGTTTTATTTAGCTAAAAGGCAGCAGCGTTTTTAATAAGTTCAGCCGTAACTCGAATACGAGGGGTGAGCCAAACTGTACCACAAGCTACATCCTCCAAAATGAGGTCACGCAAAACCTCACAGAGGCTGTTAACTCGCTAACGTGCAAGATAGCTGGAGGGAAGCAGAGATTTATGCATTCAAATAAAACGTATGTAAAGAAAAAAAAGGAAACCTGTTTTGTTCTCGCAGAATGATCGGCCGTTCCTGATGATTGAGACCACGGCGTACTTTGAGGCTTATCGCTACGTCCTGGATGGTCTGAAGGAGCTGGAGGAGGACAACCTGCCCTTCCAGAGGTTGAACCAGTGTTTCTTTTGTTTTGAGTTTTATGTTCTGCGCAGCAACATTCAAAGTCGGTTCTTTTTATTTGATCTCTTCGACAATAACCACAGAGTTCTGAAACGGCACCAACACGTCCCGCCTCTTTTTGCTCTTCAGCTGTTTTTAGACTGTTCAACACTATTTAGACCACAGAAAAGGAGCAATGGCAAAGTCTTTTTTCTGTTCCCTGCTGATTATACATTCATATGCAGATGTCTCTTTGGAGAGATTTCGAGTAGTTAACATTATTACGTCGGTCTAATTGCTTTTGTGATTGTTCTCCACTTGTGCTAATGGAACGCTGTTTTTAACATTCATCACCAACCCGCAGCCGTCACCTGCGGCTGCTGTTCAGCGAGAGCTGCACAGGCTCCCTCTAATGCTGAAGGCATTTGAGCTTCATCATGATTATTGAACTGCAGTTCAACCGAACGTTTTAAATGGTCCTCTTGGAGGCAAAACATTAACCGCGTGTCTATTAATGAGAAGTCTCTCCACCCTCCTCCTACAGATAGTCGATGCTAAAAGGAATGATAAGATCCATGATATGTCCAGGTACATCGTGGAGTGCAGCAAGGATGTGCTAGCCCCAGCGTATCTGCGATGGAACGACTCTTACGACCTGAAGTCTGTTGCTGACCCCGAGCATAAGTGCAACATGAAGCCCTTTCACAGCCTGGCGGAGAACACCTGGCCAAGAAAGGAGGCGCTGGGGCTGGATGAGTCTCAGATGAGAGCCCTCCGTATGGCCCTCACAAAGGAGCTGACCATCATACAGGGACCTCCTGGCACCGGTGAGGCATTGAAAAGACATTGTTGGAAGATGACGACCACATCGATACGTGAACGATGTGTGCATGTAATTCTGTTCACCGTCGCTAAACGACAAATCCATCAACGCGCATCCGGCGTCTTCTATTTTTCTCAGGAAAAACCTACGTTGGCCTTAAGATTGCCCGCGCTTTGTTGACCAATCAGGCTCTGTGGAGAGAGGGAGGAGACGGAGCTCCAATGCTGGTAGTGTGTTACACTAACCATGCCCTGGATCAGTTCCTTGAAGGTAAGCAGCGATGCCAATAAGTTCAGAGTTGCACGTTGGTTTTGATTGGTTCTGGATTTAAAAAGAAGAGGTTTTTATTTTTGTAATTTCCGAAACTTTTGCTAATGCGCCTCACAGCCTCCAGGGTTTTTTCTTCACAAACTTGTACTGAAGAATCCATCCTGCAGAAATGTAAGACCAATGAGCTTTTTTGTTTGGCCTCTGCTTCCAAAAGGTATTCACAAATTTCTGCCAGAAGGAATAGTGAGAGTAGGAGGGCGCAGCAACAGTGAGATCCTGAAGCGTTTCAATCTGAAGGAGCTGTCCCGCTCCCCTAAGTTCAAACAAGTGCTGCCGTCTTCGCTGAGTCGTGCTTACGGTCAGGTGAGCTGCCGCTGAGTCACCTGCAGTGTGAGCTCGATGTTTCAAGCCACTCCAAACGTCTTTTTCTCTCGTTCATTGCAACATGTTGAGAATAAATGAAAAGATAATGGATACGAGAAACCCAATTGCTGAACCCAACACACACACACACACAAACTCACAACCCTGCCACCTTGCTCATCCTGTATTTCTCATTCTCCGAGTCGCTGGTTCTGAACACACACTGCAGCGCCCGCCATAATTAGTTAATCAAATATCATTATAATGCTGCCAACTAACTACTGTCCCTGTATATCAGGTTTACAAGCAGGTGCGTGAGGCGGAGAGAGGGATCCAGAATGAGGTTACCAGGCTGGAGTGTTCTCTGAAAGGCATCCTGCGGGAAGACGCCTTACAGAAATTCATCTCACACAGACACTGGAACAGTCTGCACCGATCTGTGAGGGGAATCCGCCCGAAACATTTCACGTAAACCTAGATAGACCGTATAGACGAAGACAAACACAAACTCATCACTTCCTGTTTATGAAATGCTTCGCAGAAAGGGGAAGGTTTATGGGCGCGGGATGTGAAGAGGAACTATCCGATCATGGAGTGGTTGGGTTTGAATACCACCATCCTCCTGCAGAGGGAGACAGAGAATGCAAATGCACATCCAGGTGAGGCTTTTATTCCACCGGCACTCACTGAACTAAAAGAACTAAAACCTTATCCGTGTGACTGGATGAGTTAAATTAACACAAGATTCCTTCCAAAGAGGCCTTTGCATTTTCTCTTCAAACTATTGAAAAGCCTAATAGCACCTCTCTCATTTACAAGGATGAATTAACAGTTTAATAAACTCGCAATTTTTGGGATACGTTGCAAATGTCATTGACTGAAAGCAGCGTCAACTATGAGACACAGAAGATCTGGACTGTCATTACCTTTTACTTACTCTCAACCATTAGATATAAATGGCTGCGAAAGCATTACAAATGGATTTCACGGATAATGTAATCTCGGGGGGGGGGGAAAGAATAGGATTCATGGTAAATATGTGGCGATATTGGAGAATGGGACTTCATCAGAATAGAAGCTCGCTCTCTAATTGTCCACCTACTTCAAAGTAAATTGATGTGATCGGCGCCGGACGCCTAAGTGGTGAAGTAACCGGATCAGGCGGCTATCGTTTTAGTTTCATTGCCAGTCGACAGCATTTGGTGCAGCTGAAATGAAACCTTCAAAAGTGCTTCAAAAGAAAATGGCAAAATGACCATTCGATTCTAAACGTAAAATGGCCGCAGCTGGATTTTGCACTTAAACAATAATAAACAATCCGGAACCCATTTCAGATTTTTATTTTCTAAAAGTAATTATATTTATCATTCATCTCCATGCAACTTTAAAAATTGTAGATTTAACCGCTGTCGAACTGATTTCAACCCCAATGTTTTGGAATAAAGCTGCAGAGAAATTGGAATCGAGGGAGAAGCTCATTGCCATCCCACAAGAAGCCGATCTGATCATGGAGGAGCGCTTTGTTGAGGACAGCGTTAGTGGCAGAGACGACAGAAGCAACGAGGACGAGGAGAAGGATGTCAGAGCAGTGGAGGAGCGGATGCTGGCTATGAACCTGGACGCGCACGAAATCCAGGCCGAGCAGAGCGACGAAGGATGGGAGGTGAAATTAGGAGATTTGTCATGTGGACATTTTAATGGGATTGACGTTTAATGAGTATTTTTGCAATCCGTGACCAATCAGACGATGTGATTGTGGAGGCATTTAGTTCTCTAATGCAACCGTGAAACGCGCTGCACTTTACTACGGTCCTAATGGTGTCATTACAACATGGCTGAATACACTTCATCTGGATGATGCTGTAGCATCGTCATACCCTCCTTTAAAACACCACACCCAACCCCTGAAATGGTCATTTCAAATTTGAATGAATTCAATTGAAGGGGCGACAAAAAAGTCTTACCACAAAAGTCTTTTGAAGTTCAAGAGTGACCGTGTTCTGATTTGCGTAGATCCAACGGTTCGAGAAGAAAAGGTTGAAGGACCAAATCAAGGCCGAGCTGAAGAAGACCTCAACCATGACTGAGATGGAGGAAAGGGCTGTCCTGGATATTTGGAGTCTCAGCACGCCAGAGAAATGGAGACTCTATCGGTATGTCTGCTCGTCAACAGTTCTTCCCAAGCGACCGTCGTCTGTCCCAGAGTGTCCAACAGGACATCACTGGACCACAAGCACTCTTGTTTACATAGTTTTAACTGTTGTTCAAACTGACAAATCGGTTGATTTTCTTCTTAAATGTCTTATTCTAATTGTAACTACTAGTAAAAAGTAGCACTACACACTTCCTTTGGCGCTGAGTATACTTTTAGATACTGGGCAGATCGTCTCCCAGTTTCCACATGGTTTGCTGTCACATTGTCTTGCTATTAATATTCTTGCCGGCAGCTCTTGGGTGGCTCGCTACAGTGAAGAGATTCGTGCCGTGATCCATGGGTCCGAGGAGGAGTATCAGAACGCAGTGGAAAGGTTGGCTGATGTAAAGCGTCATCAGAACATCTTTCTGCTCAAGAGAGCCACGGTACGGTAAAAGTGAAGCAATGTAGCATGAATGTGTACAACTTTAACTTCACTCCAACTTATATACATACATATGGTTCTTGAATGCGTAGGTTCAGCTCTCTGCAGCCTTCTAAATATTTCACATATTTAAAAGCCCCTACTTGGCCATACTGCATGCAAGTGGACAGTAGCAAAAACATTTCAGTACGGCCTCTGAGGATCACTATGAACGCTGTTATTATTGATGCTAAGGTAGTTTGCCAGCCAGTCAGCGGAGAGTACTGCACCCATCCAAGAAAAAGTCTTCAGCTTTTGTGCTGATGAAACAAACACAATGTGTGCTGGAGGCTGATTCTGCTACCTTTCGGAGAAGCCAAATTTAGCCGTTTCCTCCCGTTCGGTTGCTTCTGCTAAGATACATTTAACGTCAGTCGGCTGTAGCTTCATATTTAATGCTGCGTCCATCAGGTTATCGGCATGACGACGACGGGGGCAGCCAAGTTCCGGAGCGTTCTGCAGAGTGTCGGTCCGCGCATCGTGATCGTGGAGGAAGCTGCAGAGGTTCTGGAGGCTCACACCATCACGACACTGAGCAAAGAATGCCAGCACCTCATCCTCATCGGAGACCACCAGCAGGTACCGGCCCGCACTGACAAATAGGGCGAGGATTTGGAAGCTCTGCAGGACAATTTGTGCACTTATTTTATTAAGCCATCTTCTTCTGACTCCAATGGCCTTTTTTTCATATGCGTCATTTAAAAAGACAACCTGTTCAGAGGGATTTGGTGTTGTGAGTGTTTTGTGCATGCTGCCTGCAAGGAAATGGCAAAGAAGAAACACGCCATGCCGGCCATTACAAAAGATAGATAAAAGGGAGGAGTGACATGCCGGACATCGGTAGACAATTACGGAGAATTGTCCCGGCCTGCCAGGGACATATGGACGGGCAGCCTGTCGAACAAGCTGCACGGCACCCAATTCTTTCACACATCTCAATATTCTGCCCTGGTCTCCTCTTCTTCTGTGCAGCGTCTTCCTGCTCGTTTCCTAATATTTGCTGCTTGTACTTTGTTTATGCATGAATCTTTGAAGGCATTTGAATATACAAACAAACGTGGTTTGCTTGCAGTTGCATTGAAAGTTTAGCAAGTACAAGAATGGAATTTCAAAATAGAGGCGCACCTGAAAACCAGGCTTAGAAATGTCAGTTAGGCACATAAGTAAATTATTTATTATTTATCGATTGAAACAACTGAACATTAAATTAGTACAGGTGTGGTTAAAAAGAATCTAAGCAAAGGAATCAAGATGAAGTATTCTGGTAGTGAGTTTGTTTCATGACCAAGAGCTTTGTTTTTGGAGTAGCATAGCTGCAATCTGCATGTATGGGAGGTGGATGCCTCACACTCTCTGTATAATATAAGCTTTGGCATTGTTCCGCTGTTCATTAATCACAGGTTTTCGTGTTGCATCGAGCAGAACTCAATGCATCACATTCATACTGGAATTTATCTTGCCTCCCCCACACGTCTCCCACATACATGCACAACCACACTCTGTCCTCTAGCTAAATAGGTCTGCACACACACGGACAGTTACACACAAACACTTTTTGCAAAGTCAAAACAGAGAGGAAACGAAAGTTGGAGTGCATTTGCATATATATTTTATAGTCCCATCCAGTCCCTTCCAAACCAAAACTCATAGCGGAATATTTTGAATCCCTTCTAGGCTTACTATAGATAGTTTCCTTCACCTTTGCCTTGGAACTGTGTAATACGTATTGATTCACTGGCATTTACATGATAACAGTAAGTCTGATCACCATTGGCATTTGGCCATGAAGCTTATTTCTCAATGGTTGAGATCTGTGGTTCTTAAAATATATTAAAGGCAGACAATAAAACTGCCAAATTAACTTAACACCCCCCCCCCCCCTGGATGGAACAAGAAACGGGAACCTTATTGGTGTTGTCTTTTTTAGCTGCGCCCCAGTGCCACGGTGTATGAACTCGCTAGGAACTTTGACCTGGAGATGTCCATGTTTGAGCGTCTGGTGAAGATGGAACTTCCTTACGTCAGACTCAACTATCAGGTTCGTGTTTTTACAAACACTCGTTTTGTTTCTCATTGCAGGATTTATCGATTGATGAAATTTAGATCATTCAGTTAAAGACTAGGTTGAAATGGATATGTTTGAGTGAATGATTCATTGGTGCGTTTGTGCCTCCTGTATTTGTATGACGGGTTTATCTGTGTTTGTTCTCCAGCATCGTATGAGGCCAGAAATTGCCTGTCTTCTGACCCCGCACATCTACGCTGAGCTGGAAAACCATCCATCGGTTTTTGACTATGAAAACATCAAGGTGCATATTTTATCTTCTCTCCAGCTGCTGTTCCATCCTGTTTTTATTTTCATTTATTTTGTAATGAATGTTTAGTGTCTCAAATCTGCATCATAACTTTAGGTTTTCTTTTGTTATCGTTTGGCAAGAAAAATGTGACAAAAGTTGTGTGGTAAATATCCAAGAATAACGTGTTATTACATGTCTTTTTTACAGGGCCTTAATACTAGTTTATTCTTCGTGGAGCATGAAAACCTAGAAGAAAACATCAAAGAAGGGAAAAGCCATCAGAACCAACATGAAGCAAAGTTTGTAGTCTCCCTTTGTCGCTATCTCATCCTTCAGGGGTACAAACCAGAACAAATTACCATCCTCACAACCTACACCGGGCAGCTCTACTGCCTGGGCAACCTCATGCCCGCCAGCAAGTTCGCCGGGGTCAAAGTTCACGTCGTGGACAAATACCAGGGAGAAGAGAACGACATTGTTTTGCTGTCTCTGGTCCGCAGCAACCGGCAGGGTAAAGCTGGCTTTTTAAGCATCGCCAATCGCGTCTGTGTCGCCTTGTCTCGGGCCAAGAAAGGCCTTTACTGTATTGCCAACTGCGCCATGCTGGGCCAGGTCAAACTCTGGGGGAACATCTTCCAAACCCTGAGGGAAAAGGATCAGATTGGAAATGCCCTGACGCTGTGCTGCCAGAACCACCCAGACCGGCGCGTGAAAGCGTCTTGCGCCGAGGACTTCGAGCTGGCGCCCGAGGGAGGCTGCACCAAGCGCTGCGAGTTCCGTTTGGATTGTGGCCACGTCTGCTCGCGGTTGTGCCACCCCTGCGACCCCGAGCACAAGGAGTACCTCTGTCGCAAGAACTGCCAGAAGGTCTCGTGCGATCTGGGACACCAGTGCCCGCTCCTGTGCTTCGAAGAGTGCCCGCAGTGCGCGGTGCAGGTTGAGAAGGTCGTACCGCGCTGCGGGCACACCCAGGTGGTCCCGTGCCACCAGGACCCGGAGACGTTCTTGTGCCAGGAGCCCTGCCAGCAGCTGCTTCAATGCGGCCATCCGTGCGCAGCGCTGTGTGGAGAGCCGTGCACCTCGCTGTGCCAGGTGAAGGTCGCCTTACGGCTGAAGTGCGGCCACGGCCAACGAGACGCGTGTTTCTACCAGACACACCCGTACGAGCCCAAATGCAAGACTCCCTGCCAGAAGCAGCTGCAGTGCGGCCACGCCTGTGACGGAAGCTGCGGCCGGTGCTTCCAGGGCCGCTTCCATTCCGCGTGCCGCCACCGCTGTGAGCGTCTCCTCATCTGCTCTCACAAGTGCCCGGAGCCCTGCCCGATGGCCTGCCCGCCCTGCCGGAAGCCGTGCGAGAACTGCTGCGTGCACAGCAAGTGCATGAATCCGTGCGGCCTGCCCTGCGCTCCGTGCGTGGAGCCCTGCGCTTGGCAGTGCCCTCACCAGCGCTGCAGCAAGCTCTGCCACGAGCCGTGCGACCGGCTGCCGTGCAACCAACCCTGTGCCAAGACCCTGCGCTGCGGCCACCCGTGCATCGGCCTGTGCGGAGACAAGTGTCCGGGAAAATGTCGCATCTGTAACCGCGACGAGGTCACGGAGATTTTCTTTGGCACCGAGGACGAGCCCGAGGCTCACTTCATCCAGCTGGAGGACTGTGGCCACCTCATCGAGTACACAGCCATGGACCAATACATGGGGATGGATGCCGGCCAGCAGGCAAAGGAAGGAGAGGAGGTGGCCATCAAACTGAAGGAATGTCCCAAGTGTAAAGCTCCAATCCGCAAGAATCTCCGCTATGGAACTCACATCAACAGCTGCCTTGCTGAGATTGAGACGGTAAAGGTAAAGATAAGCGGACGTAAGGCAGATATCAATAAGCAGAGGCGGGCCCTTCAAAGTCGGTGTGCGGAGAACCACCACCTCTTTGAATTTCAGTGTCAATTAGATTCTATGCACATCACCGAAAGACTGGCAGAAAAGAATCTCACAGCAAAGGACCTGTGGATCCTGGAGAACAGGATCGAGTTCCTCATAAGCGTTGCAAAGCTGAAGAAGGTCCAAAGGGAAAAATTGCCGGCAGTGCAGAGCCTCACGTTCGGAGAGCGTGTCGAGGAATTCTCGGAATGGCTGAATCACCGGCGCCAAAGTTTCACAGAGCAGCAGGTCTTTGATCTGCAGAGAGAGCTACAGAGAATCACCTCGCTGGCCGAACTCAACCTCCGTTGCCAGGAGGCGGGCGTGAGAGGGCGACGTGACACAATACAATCCGAGGTCCAAGCAATAACAGCGGTGTTGGAGAAGCGTGGCCAGTACACAGAGCAGGACGAAGAGCGCGTGAGAGGAGCCATGGAGGCACTCGGCGAGAGGCTCCCGCGCATGTCGGGTCTGGGCATCGGCGAGGAGGAGAGGAAGATGATCGTCTCGGCTCTGAAGATGCCGCCCGGCCACTGGTACAAATGTCCCAACGGCCACGTTTACGTCATCACCGAGTGCGGAGGCGCCGTGGAGAGTCGCAACTGCCCGGACTGCAAGGCCACCATCGGCGGGGGCAATCACAGTCTGGCGAGCGGCAACCAAGTCGCCTCGGAGATGGACGGCGCGCAGCACCCTGCCTGGTCCGAGGCCAACAACCTCGCCAACTTTGGTCAGCTGCACCTCTGAGAGCAATGAAAATCCGAAATGAGGCCTGTTGGTCGCTACAGCTAAAGAGGGAATAGGTTCACATTTTACTGTTGGGGAGGCAGTTGTTTTTCACTCTAGCTTTAATTTTAATTTTTTTATTTAGTACTTTTCACATTTCCTGCTTCGGGTTTCTCTTTTAAAAAAAATCGCTATGCATTGCTGCATTTATTGAACGCTCCTTGTGTAAGGAACAGTTGTCTCGTTCAACAATAGGTGGCAGTAAAACACTGTTAAAGAAGTGTGTCAGTTTTGAAGCTTGTGCAAATGGAATAAAACACGGTGAATCCATTTGTCCATCTTAATGTTACACACATACAACATCATTTATGAAATACCAGCAGTACGGCTGTGCCTTCCAATACCATTTTACTGTGAAAATGAGCGGGGTGGAAAATGTATGTTGGTGATTTTTATGAGGGCCTTCAAGTGGCAGACCGTCTTAAGAACATGTAACCAACATGTGTATTCATAGTGCATTGTATTGTGGTGTATCTATCATGTGTGTTGTAGAAAAGCTCACGTAGGCAGGTGCACATGAACGCAGCACGTGGGAATAATCAACGTCCCGTTTTCAGAGTTGCTGTTCTGTGGGATTAAAAATAAAGAGAAGCAAATGCCCTTCACCATTACAACAAACACGGCCCACTCTCTCCCTCACACGCGCGTAGTTGTACCAGCATGAGATTATCACATCCTCTAAGACGACATCATTGGCATTGAAGCCAAAGAAAGAATCCTGAAGAATTCCTCTAATGGAGCTCGCTGAGTTTCATTTTGGGGCATTTTTGGAGCTGCTTGCATCCCTTTATTACATGATGAATGTGCCCCTGTCACAAAACCAGCTCCAATGCACGCTGCTGTCTGCTGGAAGGAAAAACGCAAGGACCAGACAAGTACAATTTAGCAACCTTTAAAAGGGTGCCACCCTTTCAGTATTTAGAGGATTCAAGCACCCGGCGGAGAGGGCTGGACTGATGGAGGCAGGGCAGATAAATGGTAATATCCTACAGAGTGGACTGTTATCATGTCATGTGGCTTCATCTTACAGCCCCCCCACCACTCATTGCACGCACGTTATGTGGTTTCTTTTCCGTCTGTAGCACATTGAAGGATAAAACTCCTGCAACGGAGCGAGCCACAAGTTATAAAACTACAACAAAGACGGCCGCTGAAGTGTCCCTCAGTGATGAGGTTTGACACGCGCAGTGACACCGACCGTCAGACAGCCACAACGCGACAAAACCGATCGTCTCGACAAGCCAAGTTTAAACGGTGTGCCAATTATAGAATGAAGGAATAAAAGAACAATTCCACACTGCTATCTGTACACCTTAGTAATCACTAAACGTTTCATTTAATTAGATATTGCATTTAATCTTCTGACTGGAATAGGCAGACATCGCAGCAGAGGGACCTGACTGACGGATCTGGAACCAAACTTAAACATCGGCGATCTACATCTTAATTAAATGGTTGAACTTGATCCAACTTCCCTTGCCAGGATCCTCGCACCGAAGCCATTCCACAGCTCCCCATGAACCATGCAGCTTGTCATCGTGACGCTAAAACACTCAAATAAAGTTCCAAGATTCAATGTGTCATTGAGGAAGCCATCGTTTGACCATTTTAATGTTGCACTTTGTGTTGAAAGGAAGAAGAAAACAAAACCGGACAGTATTACTTTGTCCCTGAGAAAAAGCAACAAGGTCGATAATCACAGAAGGGAGTGCAGGTATTATGTTGGCTGCGAGGGTAATGGGGTCGCATTATCAGAAAATTGCTTATTAGCGTTCCCTTGGTGGCTTTTCATCCGCAAAGGTGTCCTCGTGTTACGGGATGCTCCCCCGGACAGAGCGCTTGTGCCTGAGATGGAACACGTAGCCGCCCCGCTCTCTCAGCACAAGTTACAAAAGTTACTTAAATATTTCTGCTGTCACGTGCGACCTCTAAGAGGTTGTTTACATAAATGTGCTCCAGATAAGTTTCTTTTTTTTCCCTTTGATTCCAACACATGCCGGTATCCATAGCGATAGCACGCTCGGTCCCAGCATATGAATTCTGTGCAATGCCATTTGTGATGGTCTCACAGTGTCTGGTCTGCAGAGAATGTCTTCATCCACAGCTGACTTGAATGTGAACAAACAAATGCTCTCATTGAGCTCTTCAAAACCGCAACAATGCTGAATAGAATGTGAGCTTTTCTTCACTGGATGGATCCTCGCTGCTTCTTTGTTATCATCCTCGAGGTTAAACTCTGGAACAGAGAATGCAATTCCATTTTTTTTTAAGCATATGTATTGGAGTATAACAGACTTCTATCAGTCTTTACTGTCTGAGGATTTAAAATAAACTCTTAACCTTATTTTGGATTAATGTCAAATCTACAGTATTGCTGATAATGGTTTGGGATTTATGTTTATTTGAGATGCGTTTTTTTGTTTTTCGGCACATCCAAAGCTTTTTCCGGCTTAATGTGCGATGGAGCTGAAGCTTTTTGAAGCCTTCTTATTTTTTTGCAGGCATTTCATTTTAACTCCTAGTGCTGATGTTGTAGTTGTAAAGGCGCATACTCATCCCAAAGATACTGACTGTGACCACCACACAGCCCTAATGTTAAATGGAATTAATCAATATGATATAGATGGTTCTCAGTGCAATGTTGTCTCCTTTCCTCCAAACAGGTGCATATTTGTCAATGACCATCTCGATGTGAATAGACTATACTTGTATTTTGTTAAACCACACAGAAAAAGTTTTAAACGCTCTCCAATTGTTGAATACATCATCCAACCTTTTTTTGTGTGACTTTCTCCAATACTTCCCGTAATCTATTTGCATCAAAGTCAACATTTGTTCCATCATTACACAAGATCCTTTCTACATCGGCTCCAGGTTTCTTATCTGATTTAAGCCTTTTCCCGATTTTCTCCGAGCACAGGAGAAGTTTGCACAAGAATATGTGGTTTTGTTTTTGTCGTGTCTTGTTGGGGTTTCGGGTTGTGGAGTCGCACACATGAGCAGTGAATCCATTTATCCACACACCGTGCTACATTAGCTACTCTCTCTGCTTGTCTCTGCTGCATCTTTATTGCCTGCGCACGTCTTTTGTTCCCACCCAAGTTCGCACACTTCCGCTTCTCTTTTCCCCACTTCGCGGTCACACTGTGCTGACCTGCGCTGCTGAAACATGTGGCCTGCTCATCATCCTCAAAACCTCGCCGTGACGGCAAGAGCAGTCGGAATCAAAAGCCTGACTTGAAAGCCTGGGGATTCTGAAAACACTCTCACTATTCATGTTTTTGAACAATGTCCCTCTCCTCACTAACCCCTCCTTGAATCCTCCATGTTTGTCTTTGCATTATCCTTGTGTCATGAAGCAGCTTTCAGCGACAGTGTTAATCCAGAATCCTTGTCTTAGAAACCTTTTTTTTTTGCCAATTCGGTTGAAATAGGCACAGCTTTATTTCTCTCTTCAGTGTTGCTCATCTTAGGGCGGTGTTTAGTACATTTAACGCTTTCTTAGGTTTGTAGATACATTCCTGGTTGGGATCAGCACATGTTATACACAATACTGAGTCACACTGATGTCCGGGTGGAAGACAATGTGAGGCAGATTGAATTGCATTGAGAACATTGAGAGAAGTTGCTTGAATTTAACTTCATCTGTAGCCAGATATGAAGCCATTCACCACACAGACCAGACACTGTGATGGAATTATAAAATGAATCATGAGGAATTTAAATGATGGGGCCGATCAAACTATTTCTATGAATACCAGCCCATGCTGGAGTAAAAGGACATGAATTACCAGGTAGGTTTTTATCTGCGGGCAATATTAAAAAAAATACTTTTAAAAATGCCACAGAAAGTGCTGCATTGATAGTTAATTGAAATGATGAGTAAAATGAAGCTCAGTCTGAAGGTGCTGGAAATGGTGGGAGGAATAGTGACATTTTCCCAAGACTTTCGGGAGATGAATATTATCTTTTTTGGTTCAATCATCTGAGGAAAACAAATTTGATTGACAGGATATGATAATGTTGTATTCTTGGTTATTTCTTCTTCATTTTCATTTGATTTGTTATTAATGTTTGCACAAAAGGTTTAGAGTCCAGATCCTTGTTACGTTGCTGGTGTTCCCTTTCTTTTTTTTTCCCCAACTGCAAAAAAAATCCTTAAGCAGAATTAAGAAAGAATTTATGAAAGACGTTTATTGTGAAAGATTTATCAACATACTTAAAGCGGCACACAAAAAGTAACTAATGATTGAAGATTGATGACTGAACACGCTCACGCTCTGCTCAGCACGCGATTACTCCACCACATATTTATACAGCAAACAGTTGTTTGCTGCTATATAAATGCTTTGAATCTGGATTTTTGCTCCTCTAAGTAATGAGTAGTTAATGAGTTGTTAATAGTTTGCGCCGCTCAGTAGCTCATTCATAGTTAATCAGGAGTGACTCATGAACAAAGTCGCCAGCGAGTCGATTTACATTTTTCTATGGACTAAGCATTATTTAATGATTCATTACAGTAATATAGCATCTCCCGGTTTGTCCTCATCATTAACCACTATACAGTCAGAGGCGTGGTACAGGCTTGCAGCGGGGGCCAGTGGGATAGATTACACAGATCATAACTTATGGTGATCAAGATTGCCACCCCAAAAATACGCATGTAAAAATAATTAATTTAAAATGTTGCCATTTGTTAAATATAGCTTGAAAATAAAAACGGCATATCCATGTTTTTTTGTTTTGTTTGATTATTCAGTAGAGATAACAAAACGTTGTGCTACATTACAAACAAATAAATTAAATTAATTATTGACCTTTGTATTTCTTGTCATATATATGCAATGGGGCGGCACGGTGGCGTGGTGGTTAGCACTGTCGCCTCACAGCAAGAAGGTCCTGGGTTCGATTCCACCTAGTGGCCTTTCTGTGTGGAGTCTGCATGTTCTCCCCGTGTCTGCGTGGGTTCTCTCCGGGTTCTCCGGCTTCCTCCCACAGTCCAAAGACATGCTCTGGGGATCAGGTTGATTGGGGACTTTAAATTGCCCGTAGATGTGTGATTGTGAGTGTGAATGGTTGTGTGTCTCTGTGTTGCCCTGCGATTGGCTGGCGACCAATCCAGGGTGTACCCTGTCTATCGCCCAAAGTTGGCTGGGATGGACTCCAGCCCCCCCGCGACCCTGTGTGCAGGATAAGCGGTTTGACAATGGATGGATGGATGGATATATGCAATGGTTTTTGCCCCGAAAATATAAATGTTGATATTGTCAAATTTCCAGGCTCTAATTAATCATGTGACAGGATAATCCAGTGTTGTGTTTGTGTTTCATACCTGGAATAATGAGCACTAGGGCCCAGCATTACATCTCAACTACCTTTTGCCCCTCTATGTATAATTACTAATTCGCAGTTATTCAGGAGCCGCTTATCAACGCACTGCTCTCTGCAACACTTTGGTCAGGACACTCTCACTTAGCCTCAACTGGCCTTCCGTCCCTGGCCACGATTTTCCACGGACGCTTTCAGCTCCGTTAGCATGCTGTGAACTTCCCGCTGGATTTGACTGATCTCCATCTATTGGACCGGAAAAACGGAATGAAGCCACAGAAAGTCTGGACTGAACTAGAAACAAGACGGATTTAAAGAAAACTGCAGACAGAGAACCCGTCAGATTGGATGGGCATGAGATGTGCTCGTCTGATTGACTGGCCTGCTTTCGGTCCGCCAGAGACTTTGCTGATGAAGGAAAGACAACAAGACACAGAGAGATGATACGGAGGGAGAATAGACCCACATTCATACGAAGGGATTTCTTCTGATCTCCACTGGACCAGTGAGATACACAGACAGACAGACAGACAGGAAGAAAAAAAAAAACCCAGATAAAACATATAGACAAAAGGCTTATGGCAAAAGAAGGAAAAATGTTGAGCAGAGTTAAATATTTGAGGAGGAACTATGAAACAGTAGAAGTGGGGCCGCCGTTTCAGATTCCGGTCGTCAGCAATGTTTTCAAACTTCATATTTTGTCATCCTCAGCCCTGAGCAAGAACACTCTTACAGTCGAAATGTACATTCATTGTTACGACCCCCGGTCTTGTCTGTGTTCTGTGTGTGTGATAACCCTCCTCAGGTGGAGCTAATTGTCTTCATTACTCATCCGCCCTCCCGTGATCTCCTACAGCTGGTTCCTGTTTTCCCATCCTCCAATCGCATCGTCCCATCAGCTGTATTTATGTGTTTCTGGTTGTTCAGTCCATATCTCTCAGGCCGGGTGTAAGGTTGTGTTTGGGGTGCTCTTGCTCTTGTGAAATTGGTTGTACATGGTGGAGTGTTTTTTGGAGTATTGAAAGTATTAATCATTTGTATTTCGTGTGTCCTTCCCAGGGAGAACGGAAAGCACTTGGGAGTGTTAGGAAAGACGCCCTGGGCATACATCACCCGTAGGGATATCTCCTGTTATACACACCAGGTTAGATCTGAGCGATCCACCCCCTGTATTTTTGGTTAGGGCGCCTTGCTCGAGCGCCAGAGTAAATAAGTGTTTTGTGTAGGACGTTGGGACAGGAAAGGGGTGGGGTTTTGCTAATTTCTTTGTTTTGGATCAGCTCAGCCGTCCTCCCATTTCCCTCTATTGTTTATTATTATTATTATTATTATTATTATTAATAAACTGGCACGTGCTAGCCTGTTTAAACGAAACCCATCGATGTTGGTGTGATTACTTGCGCCCACACCCGGTCTCTGGCCGTCTGGGGTTCTTGACAGCGCGGTGTATGTTCCCCTCCCCTCACGGGGTGCTGTACGGGCGTAACATTCATGAAAACACACTTTGAGGTTTTGACTGACATTTTAATCTATTGAAATAAACTACGTATCTTACTGATCTCAGTGTTCTGAGTGAAAGCCAGCCACAATATCTCCTATAGTAACTTTTTCCCCAGCTATTGTTCACTGATGTTATTAATCCAACCCAACCAACTTCTCTGTTGTTACATTCTTTAGTTCAAGAGCAGCAGGTGAATCCTGAGATGCAGAAGCTCAATCAGGACTTTTCTGTGTCAACCGGAGGACGACTTTGACTTGATTGAAGATGGATGACTTCCTCTCTAGGAATAAATAATCATACCAGTAATGAAGACTTTTCCTCTAGTTTCTATTACTGTGAGGTAGCCTGCAACCTAGACCAACACATTAGACTAAAATAGCAACTTAGCACAACCAGTGCAACATCGCAGAGATTGATTAACTTCAGCCCCAAACACACAGATACCCTTCACTTGTTTCCTGAGAGGACATCACAGGCACTTTATGAGACTCCAGGCTAGAAGTGAGCTAGAATCCAGGAGGAACTTTAACACACTTACACTCTGGTTGTGTGTCCGACACACCAAACTGTGGTTTGAATCGGTGCTTAATTGCGTCGTGGGCAGTGCATTAATGATCATTACGATGCTCCTCTCTTGAGGTGCTACCAGGCAACTTCTCATGGGTTGTGTGTCATCACATCAGAACTTTGATTAAGGCGGTGGGGATAAGCGGGGACCCTGATCACGTTTCTGTTCGGCTTCCAAGCTGATTTAAATGTAAATTCATTTCGGTTTCGGCTCCTCCCATCTCTTGACAGCGTCCTGTAGGGGAGCAATGAGGGGTGAGTTTAAGGGAAGTGGGCGATTCTGCCCAGGTAAGCATATTTAGTCTTATAGCGTTTGATTCTAAACCAATTTGAATAACTGTGTGAAAGCCAATTTGATTTAATTGCGTTCTGCTCTTCT